ACCAGAAAACATTCTGGCGGATTATATTGTTGTTCAAAATATTCCAAAATCATTATTTACAACCCTATTTTGGGTACTGTTAGTGAATTTGCTTCACCCAAAAATCCAAATAGATGCAGCATAATAATAGATGGAGAACTTAAGAATTGTCTGAGCTTTAACTTGACTGTCAGTTCTAGATTTTTAGTCAGCCTTGTTACTTGAGTCCAAAAAGTTTCAGATAGGTTTTAGAGATTGAAGTGAAAGGAGCTTGCTCTATGCTCTATAGCATGATGAAATGGCTAGACAATATGTAGTTCACCCCAAAACAAAGCCTGATTCCACTATACACCTTTGTTTTAAATTCATATTTTACAATCAAAATTTGTGTACTTCTACAGGTCATCCTTGGATTTGTGAAAATGGTGTTGCTCCTGATAGAGTGTTGGATCCAGCCGTACTCTCTCGCCTTAAGCAGTTTTCTGCAATGAACAAGTTGAAGAAGATGGCCTTGCGGGTATTTATTGCTTTTTACTTTTATTTCTTCAATTGAAGTATTCAATGTTATGAAGTCTTTGGAATTGATTATTTAAATCTTATCCTATCTTTGCTTGGGATGGAATGTTACTGTATTGTATAATGCATCTATCCAAAAAAGAAGAAGAAGAAGAAGAAGAAGAAAAGTATGGAGAGTATTAAATGATGCAAATGTTGAAGTTTCAGTTCATGTTTGTTCTAGGTAATTGCTGAAAGCTTGTCAGAAGAGGAGATTGCTGGTTTAAGGGAGATGTTTAAGGCCATGGATACTGATAATAGTGGTGCAATTACATTTGATGAGCTCAAAGCTGGTTTAAGAAAATATGGATCTACTTTAAAGGATACAGAGATACGAGAACTAATGGATGCAGTAAGTTAATTGTTTAGGAATGGTATTTCTTTCCTATATATTCTGTGTTGGGAAGCATGAATTGGACAATCATGGATACTCAGAAAAAATAATGTAAAAAATATGCTCAATATTTTTGGACTCTGAATAATATCAATGTTCAAATGCACATTATTTAGTAAATGATAGAGCTGATTAGGCTTGCAACAATTTGTCTTTTCCAACTTCTATAGATTTCTCATGATTGAGGAAACTTGTAGACCAACTTATCACTAGGAACCTGTTCATTTACCTGAACTCACTACTATAATCCTTCATGGAAAAAATGTTGAACTGTGCAGTTCTGTTTGTGTCGTGATTTCCAATCTCTGTTCATTTTATTGCTGAAGATTCCCTTAAGACTCTCTTGAGCCATTGAAGTGTTGAAGTATTACTATAATTTTCAGGCCGATGTAGATAACAGTGGGACCATTGATTATGGAGAATTCATAGCAGCTACTATTCACCTTAACAAACTAGAACGTGAGGAACATCTTATGGCTGCGTTTCAATATTTTGACAAGGATGGAAGTGGATATATTACAGTTGATGAGCTCCAGCAAGCTTGTATAGAACATAATATCACAGATGTTCTCTATGAAGATATTATCCGAGAAGTTGATCAGGATAATGTAAGTCAATGGTGATGGAGAATCACCTTGGTTTTTCATTACTTTGTTTTACCATTTTAGAATGTTATGAACCTTGCCAATCAAGAGAATGAGAGAGAGACAGAGAGCTAATTGAATATTGTTATGAATGATGAGTAATAGTGACTTTTAAAACTGAATGTTCTTTGCAGCTTAGATAATAAGATGCATAGCTGAAGTGAATCGCATTGGTCTCTAGTCAAAGACGATGAAAAGAAAGCGCACACACACACACACACACTTTAAAAGGACAAATAATAGAGTTGCTAACATTTAGTTAGTTAAGAAGAGATTTCCAACAATGTATATTTAGTGTGTTTTGCTGGTTGCTTATATTGTAGATATACAGTTCTAGGAGTCTATTCTTCACATAGAGCTTGCAATCTAACATTTAATGCGTTGGCAAAATATTTTTTTCTTGATTTATCTAGACTAAATGATCTTCTTTTTTGCTGCTCTTGAGTGTTGTGTATTCTTATTTCCACACGCTCTTGCCCTCTCTTATGTTTCCCTTTTGATGGACTTTATTGCAGGATGGAAGGATAGATTATGGGGAATTTGTTGCCATGATGACAAAAGGAAATGTAGGTATTGGAAGACGAACTATGAGAAACAGTCTGAATATCAGCATGAGAGATGTACCTGGAGCTCACTAGCTTTTTGTGAGATGCATCATCTAGAGGTAGTTTTACACAAAATTATTTATGGGTGGAGTTGGAAGTAGTGTGTTTTCCATTGTGTGGAGGATTTAGTCACCATGGAAAGCATGGAGTTGATTTTGGTTTCTGTTAAATTGGCTAATTTGTAGGTTGTAGAGAAATGACAGCAGATGATGATGAGTGATTGATTGATTAGATGAGAAGAAACGTGTCCTTCCTTCCTTCCTTCCTTCCCAAGTACTGTGAAGGCAGCAGCAAAATCAGAGTTGTGAGGGTGAAGCATGCATATGCAGTAAATCTCTTGCTTAGTGTCATTGGGTGCTCACAGATAGTGTTGTAAGCTTTGTAGACTCAAGTGTGCAAAATTATTTTAGTTACTGGCTATGGCTATATTTGTTTTGCAGTATTCTTGGGGTTGTGGTTACTACTTACTAGGAGGGAAATGGTTGGTGTTAATGATGTAGCCTTGTGGAATCAATTTTGCATTCTAGTACAGATGGTAATTTATTACACTACTTTTTTCCAATGTGTTCAGTAATAAATGCAAAATGTGCTTGAATTTATTTGGCATTTTGAAGTTGGACATTTAGCGGAAAAGTTGAGTTATCCTTTTTTACTTTTACGTTGGAATTGCCTCTCCTCTCATTTGCGCAGAGTATAAGAGAGAGGATTGTAATTTATTGGTAAAATGCACATCAAAATTCGCTTTTGGTTAATGTTTATTATCCAAAAATTATAATAATCTTTCATCGTTTCTAAAATTAAATTAAGGGAAAATGACATTTTTTTTCCCCTAAGTTATATACTTATAGCACTTTTCCCCCCTCAATTATTTAAGCGGCTTTTTTTCTCCCTGAAATGTTAAATGGACATATTTACCCTTAAAATAAATATTTCATTTATTTTTATTCTCCAACAAATTATTACTATAATTTGGTTCAAACCAAACAGATACTATAGCAACCAAACTAAAATATCCAATTACAATTTATAATCAAAACGCAATATTTAGAGTTTATTAAAATCGCGAACCGGAATGACCGGTTCATGTTCCGAACTGAAAAAAAAATACATTTATTGTTGAATTTAGACTATTTTAAAATAAAAAATAAAATTTTAAAATAAAGACGGTTCAAAATCGCGAACTGGATCCGGAACCGCCGGTTCACGGTTCATGATCTAGTTTTTTTTTTTTATTCTTAAATTTAATAAATTAAAATCCAAATATTGGATCTAAATCTGAATCATAACTGAAAACTTTTAATTCGATTGTTATAGTGTCTGGTTCAGTTCGAACCGAACCGTGATAATCGCTACATATACACAATAATTTGTTGGAGAAGTAAAATAAATAAAATGTTTACTTTAAAGGTAGAAATGTCAATTTAATATATTTGAGGAAAAAACCACAACTTTTAAAATAATTGAGGGGCTAATGTACTTACATAAATAATTGAGGGGAAAAAAAAGTGCTATAAGTATAAAAAGTGCCATTTTCCCTTAAATTAATTTAAGCGAAGCGGGGCGGATTAAAAATGAAACTAAAGGGTGTGGGACTGTGAGACGAATCAAAATTTAGATCTAACCGGATTCACAAGTGTTACCCACGAACTAATGGATGTTTAGTGTCGGTGCGAGAAACTTTGGATCACAGCTTCCGCTTCCTAGCTGGGAAGTGCGGAGCGGAGCCCATGTGCGTCCTTCGCTGTGGTCACGACGCCACTGCTAATAATTTGCTCATCCCACCTGTTTGTTTTAATTGATTCAATTTGAAAAAGAAAGGTGACCCCATTGCGGAGATCCGGAATTTTATTTCCACCACAGATGAGATGATGCTGCGGCGCTGACAGCCCGGCACCGACAGATTTTTTATTTTTTTTTCCGCTATTGCCAAAGGATTTGGTTGGTTCAAATTACATCTCCATTCTCCAGGGACTAGAACAAAAATGGAAGATTTACCAAGAAGCAAACGTGTATGATAAATTCCGGTTCTCACCAAATAAATTAAATTATTATGAAAAATACTACGGAGTATTTATCATGTCAAAAATATGGAATCCAAGAAACTTACTGGCGATCAACTATCGCCTAGGCCTAGGGAGGGCGAATAATATACAGTGCTGTGCCGATTGCCCAATGAACCAGTCCAGCATGCAGGTGGCTCTACTGCATCCATCGGCCGGGCGATTCCGCTGTAGATACCAAATACAAATAAATGCATATTCATTACTTTACAAACCATCCGATCCATCTCATCACCTCATACCATACCATAACATAATATATAATATATAATATATAATATATAATATAATGTATTCGTTCAATTAAATGCTTATTAATTCACAATTGATTGAATAAAATAACAATGGATCGGACAAATTCAAGCTAGAAATCATAAAGGATTAAAGAAAAAAAAAAAAAACAAACGAAATTAAAAACTACTCCTCCCAGCGTTGGAAAAGATACTTGATTGGATTGGCGGCACAACATTCAATTCACAGTGGCTGGCATGTACGTATGACGGGGGGTTATTTTTGGCGATGATCTAGTATAGATACACACAAACAACACACAAACACAAGCTAGGTGGGGATCGGATCTGATCTGCATTACATCAATTCTTGCTGCAGCTAGGTTGGCCACTTTCATTGGATCTAACAGCGAGCAGGACAGATGTTGATTATGATGTGCATACAAACTATATATATATAGCGGCGGCGGCGGCCGCAGATGAGATGCCAACCGGATATCGAGTGCTCCATATTTAATTAGCTAGCTAGCTCGCTAGCGAGAGAAGGTTCTTCTGGTCTGATCATCAAAATTTTTGGAGTAATCCAAAGAGTCGTAGCGGAAAGTTTGAGGGAGGCCCTCAGACCCCATCAGCCTTCTCCTTAACTCAAACTTAACCTTGTAGAACACATGCCTCCAGCTGCCCTTGCTGTGGCACCCCAGCGCCGCCTTCTCATCTTCGTTCATCTCCAGATCCTTAGCGAAGGTGGGCTTCCTTGTCAGGATCCAGGACCACCCCCAGTCCCACCACCTTCTGATGGACACGAACCCATCGGCCGCCCTCGCCCTCATGTGCTCCACATCCCCCATAGATTTAGATCTCCGGAATGCCGCTCCCAACGAAGACGCAGATGATGAGATCAACGTTGTAGGGGTTTGTACAGAGTAGAGAGAGGAGAGTCTTTTGCGGATGCCTTCTCCTCCTCCTCCGGGCTGTGAAACTGGCAGTGCAGCTTGCTCTTGCTTAAACATGATTGATAATCCTGTTGAACGTGATTTGCTTTTCTACCAAGCAAAATCACCCACGCATCAATCTATCTATCTATTGATCTAGCTAAGCAATTCAAGCTACACTTAGAGGGAAGTGTGTCGCGCTTCTCTCTCTATACTGCTATTGCGGTCGATGAGTTTAGACTTTAGAATGAAACCACATGTTAAAACTTTGGGAATTAATTTAAAGGAAAGAGAAGGTAAGATGTAGCGGTCGCACTGTCATCTCTACGTGACATTTTCCTTTACATTGATGGACAGCCTGTAATATTCTCGTCTCCCTATCTCGCCTGCCCGTCCGTTTTTTTTCCCCAAGAAAACAGTATAATTCTTCCAAAATGTTCAACTCCAACCCTGCTCAACTCCAACTCTAAGGGCCTCCACACTCCGACCCAATAGAGCATTTGAAAAAAACAATATAATTCATTAAGCATTATCTAACGTCATTACAAAGGGAGGATTAATTAGAGGATTAAAAAATCAAACAATGTAGAAAGTGATTTCCGAACAAGTCACTAGCCCTGCATTCGGCATCCCTTGTGGACTTCATTATATATATAATCCTTGTATAAAATATATTTAATTCTTCTAGCCCAAGCCCAAGTAAATATTATTATATCTATACAGAACTCACTCATACAATAAAAGCCCACTACCTTAGTCTTGCATTTTCCTATTATATACACATGAATATTACTCCTTATCCATAATAGACTTAAAACCTAGATATTTCCTACACACACACACTCTCTTCCTTGCCTTCTCCCTCACGCCATTTTCATCTCCTATCACACAAAAATATCTTCCATTTTTCTACTCAAGAAAACAAGACCAAGATTCCATCTTTCTATTTCACGAAGTTTAGGAGTGGTAAGATAAAGCTTTCTACACCTTTTCTATTCAAGATCTTTCAATCTTTTCTAAATCTTTATTCTTTTATATGTTGGGTTTGGGGGTTTTAAAGAAGATTAAGTGGATGGTGACATGCTAAGATGAACTAGGAGCTAGGAGCTTGGTGTGGTTTGCTAGCTAGAAAGGTAACCTTATGTCCATGAAAACTATTTTACACCCCATAATGTGTATTCTTGATATTCTTGATGAATTTGAGCATGATCTTGTGTTTATACTTGTTTTAGAGTTTGTATGTTAGGTGTATACTTGTGTTGATGTGACATTTCTCCCATTCCAAGTTATATTTGTTGTTGGTATGATTATTGTTGAGTTTTGTTGAGTTTTGAGTTGATTCTTCCATTCTGGAAATTATCTCAGAACCCTACTATTTTCTACAGGTTTTTGGCCTTGCGGGGGTATTCAACGGGCCCGACACACTCGTTGAACCCACCCATGTGAAGGCAAGAGGGGTGTTTGGCGGGGGTGGAGGTCCCGCCAAACCCCACCGTGTTGTTCCCACTGGGGTACTTGACGGGCTCTTTGGTCCCGCCAGAACCACCCGCTGGTTCAGTTTTGTTTGGCTTCTAGAATTGTTTTGTTGCCTCCCATGCACTTTTGAGTATTTGTTGATGTTACTTAGGTCTAGAGTGGAGTATTGTGAGTCTATTGATTAGGATTTGAGTCTTGATTCGTTGTAAAGATCCAATCTTTATATTCGTTAGATTATTGTCGAATTCTATATATGTTGAGAATCTTTTGTATTTCTTTCGTTAGAATCCTTGTGAATATCCTATTGACGTGCATGCCAGTAACGTTGTTTCTTTGATGCTATTATGGTCTCTTTTGGCACCCTTTGCTTGATTATATTCTTGATTGAATTATTGACTTGAGCCTATCTATTCGTTGTAACATTTCTTTGGAATCATTTTGATATTGAGCTATTGCTTTGAGATTATCTCTTTCTTGTATCTTTCTTGAAATCCATTGACATTGAGGTATCGTTGTGAGATCATATCCTTGTTGTTTCTTATCTTTGGAATTCCTTGATCTTGAGCTATTGATTGAGATTATTCATTGTTGAATATCTTTCTTGCGGAATCTATTTCATTGTCTTTGCTTCTTGAGATTCTCTTTGTTGTATCGAATCCCTAATGAGATTATTATGCTGGCACATTAGACAGTGTGGGGAACTTATTTGATTGATTTGAGATGATATTTGAATTGCGGGCAACCTGATAGAAACGTATCCTGAGTTGTCAGATCTAGTTCTACTTATTGCGGCTTGGAGATCCCAGTAAGGGTGTATACACTTAAGGAATTAGAACTGTCTCCATTTGATTTGATTTATTGGATTGAGATATTGTGTTCCTGAGTGGACTTGAGTCGTCTGGGAGCCCTCCACACTGATCCACTAGTATTTGAGTCACCTAGGTTGGCTTTGCGATACTTGAATTGTTGATTGTCCATGTGAGGACTTGGAACTTGATATTGACATTGATTGTGTAATTATGATGAGAACTAGATTATGTGTATAACGTGATTGATCTACACTTCTTGTTGTTTATAACTCGATATTATTATCTCATTGGTTCGGTCTCGTTACTGATGCCCTTGTTGTATATTGTCATGTTACTGTGTACAATTCTTGAGTTGGTCTTGATTTGATTCCATTCTCTATCATTTATTGAATTAGAGTTGATTAGAGAAATATATATGTATTCCCAAGTCTCAAAACCTATATTGAAGTATGAAAAGTATATCTATGTATCTTTACATATTGGAGTGGGGTTACTTAGCATCTATCGCTAATTCTTTTAAAATGTTTTCAGGTATGGAGTAGAGATCTTACCCGAGTGCGCTTAGCAGGATGTCTAGCTTCCTTGCCTTAGCTAGTTTATGTTTTGCTTTCTAGATTATGATGTTTTGTTGGGATGTAGTTTAAACCCTTGATGTTGGTGCTATGTTTTGAATTGGTTCTTTTAGCTTTGGCCTTAACACTTAGGCTTGTTGACCTAAGTGTGGCATAACACCATGATTCAGACTTTGTTGCTTCCGTAGTTTTAAATCAGACTTAGACTTTATTTACCCATCTTTGTTAAGTTTAATGCTTATAATCATGTTTAGAATTGAGGGTGTTACAAAACATGTGGTGTTCATGTCTCTTTAATTTCCAACCCCCTTTTATCAAAGGTGGGTATGATTAGTGAGAGGTGTGACTATGGTGTTGCTCTATTCTTATGGTGACAACACCTTATCCATATACCTCTTGCATAATTTGGCCACAGCCATACAAGATTTAATACAAACAACCATGCTCACAACTAGAGCCATCATCAAGTCATTACACTAACCCATATCTCAATTCAATCGCATAGCATCAATCACAAAAGATGACTTAATCCAATTCCTAATTGGATCTAGCTAAGCATGGATTGAAATTAAAGACATATGTAATAACAATTAGAAACAATAAAATTCAAAGGAAGCAACAAGAAAGACTTAGCTTTGATTAATAACTAGGGAAATGAAATATTGAAATTGCAAGATGAAATTGTTCTTCAAATCTTCTTCAAAGATGGATTGATTACACAAATGAAATGTTTGGAGAGGTTTTCTAAAAAGTTTTCTAGGAATAACCGCCTAGGTCTATTTATACCCCTCAAATTGCACTAAAAATACTATTTAAAAAGGATGCTGGTCATGTGGTCACGATCGAGTTCATGCCATGATCTCGACTGTGACCACCCACTTTGCGCAACAGTTCTGATTTCTAGGCCATTTTTCACGCTGTACACGTTCAAACTAGCCTTTGTGATCTTCATGAAAGTTGTAGCCATTTGAGTTGTCATTCCAATCCCACTTGAATCACCTAATTTAGACACTCCTAGCCCGAGATATGATCAAAATATCGAGACATCACCTGACAAAGAAAAATGCAGAGCATAATGGAGTCATGCTGGTAGTCACGGCATGACCACCAGCGTGAGCCTTGATTTTCACTCCAAAATGCATATTTCTTCATCTCCTTTATTTCTTTTGGGTCCCCGGCTCATGTCATGACACTTCTAATTTGATCTTTTTCACTTTCTTGACCTCTCATGACTCCTAGAACATGCCTTTAGATCAAAATAGAGTCAATTCCATTTTTTGTCCTAGACTTATTGGGGCGTGGACAGTTTTCATCCTCCATAATAAAAAATGCCAATTTGTAGCCACACTTAATAGGACCATGCCACTTTTAGTCCTTCGTCCAAGTTTCCGTTTGTTGACCATCTAAATGAGGGGTATTTTTGTCATTCAATGTGTTCTTCTTCTTAATCTTATCTTTCTTTTTCTCAGCACCAAAAAACCAGCTGCAATCTGAGAGGACGGAACCAAGCTTTCAAAAGACGATGGAAGCCTACCGGAAAGATCATTATTTGCTATAGAAAATGTCTTGAGCCTCCCAAACTGGTAATCTGAGATGGAATGTTTCCAATTTGTTTATAATCCATTTGTTATCATTATCAGCTTATTCAAATACATGTAATTGCCGAGATCTAGGGGAATTTGCCAGGTCAAATTGTTGCTGAACAACTCTAGGGTTACTAAATAGGGCAACTAACGATAAAATTGAGAAGGTATTGTATCAGAGAAGGTAGATAACCAACCTCGTCGCCGTCGGGAACCTTGTGGCCGAGGTTCAACTCCCGAAGCTCTAACCTCGTCGCCGTCGCCATTACTAGAGAGATCGAGGTTCTGCAAGTTGTGGCAGTCCTGCAAAGCGTCGGGAACCTCGTCGCCGTCACCACTACCTCCCTCCGCTGGAGCACTTTGCAAAAACAAACGCCACTGCCTCCCTCTACCAAAGCATAGTCACCGATAGCGGAAACACCACCCAGGAGCTATGACAGTAGCTCCCAACAGTGCTACAGTGAGAGACTCCGAGATCGCACCCCAAATCTCTGACCTCCTCCGTCAGCCGGTCTCCAGCACCGCGCAAACAACAAGCTCTACGACACCATTTGGTTCTTTCGCCCAGATCCGGGAGGTCTGCCCCTCCCCCTTTTTCTTCGGAGACGCGACGGTCTCCGCCGCTTGCATGCCGGTGGGAGACAACGATCCACTAGCAGCAGACTGCATAGCAAGGGGCGGCGCCGAGAAATTATTGCAACGTTGGCGGAGTCGTCGGGAGCGTACTTCCACCGGCAGCAGACTGCACAACATTGGAAATTAAAGTTCTGGGTTGTTTAGGTCTTCATTAGGAGAAAAACACATAAAAGACAACATTGCCCTTCATTTTCACGGTCAACAGATGATTGCACTAACGGAGGACTAAAAATGTCCAACGACCAATAAGCATGGCTACAAATTGACAATTTTTATTATGGAGGATGAAAACTGTCCACGCCCCAATAAATCTAGGACCAAAAAAGGAATTGACTCATCAAAATAACTCCAAAACACATCCAATTGAGCTCCAATTTACATGATGTTACAACCAATGCCTCCAAATCACCTAAATGACACAAGGGAATCAAATAAGCACATACTTAGCTTCCAACTAGCCTATTGTGCTAATCATTTCAGAAACTCCTAAAGAGGTTTGCACTAATCCTTTAGTACAAAACGACCACTCAATTCTTGAACACTAAGCCGGACTTGAGTGTCTAGGTTTTTCAACCCAACCGAGTTTACTTTGCGTCTTTCTACTTCTACAGAGTAGAGTTACAAATGGATTGACGATAAAAGTTCTTCAGTCTCCAACTAGAAGACTTGGCTCTTGATGTTCTTGATTTTCACAGTTTGAACATCACAAGCTTTTAAAATTCAGGATAAGTCTTTGTAGCTTTGAGCCTCTCTCTCTCTCACTTGTCACTATATGTGAAACTTAAAAAATGCTTGAATGCTTAGAAAAATTTTTGATTGACCATCTCACTCCTTCTATCTCCTTGAGTGAAGTTATTTATACGTCTATTGAAAAAGGTCCGTTGGAGGGAAAACCAATATCAAACGTTTATTACCCAATGAGTAAAGACCGGTGGTTTTTCCAGAAAGTAGCTTTATGCGTTAGACTTTCCAACTGTTAGACTACTTAAATTGCGCTGAACATATATTTTTGTTCTGCACAAAAGCCTAGGACTTTCTTTGCCTCAACGAGAGTTGGGTGATGAATTCGAGCCACCTCTTGCATAAACCCAATTTTTTCCTATGAAAATAAGGGAAATTGGGGGTTTAGGATGCTTTGTGTGCTTGATGGACTTGGAATTGATACTCCATGATAGTGGGACAATTCCTTGTTCTAATACTTGTTTATTTGCTCACGGAAGTGGGTTTAAACTAGGATACTTATGTGCATTCCCGATTGACTCATTGGTTACTTGTTCTCCCTAATCCCATGGGTTGTTAAAGCATCTAGATGATAATGCTCCCTGGTTGAGTCCTATTTCTTTATTTTATGTTTATATCTTGTTAATATGTGTTTGTGTTATCTTATTTAGTTATCGTAACCTTGAAACTATGTATTGCTTAGCTTCTTGCTGATTTCCTAGTGCTAGTGTCTAGTTTCTTGTTGTTGCATATTACGTGACATAACCCCCAATCCCTTGAGGACGACATTTCACACATGTACACTCACCATCACTCATTTTTGCTACATCAGTTACGAATGGTTGTATTTACCATTCATTTCACTTTACTTCAAAAGGTAGGCTCATCTACCATTCGGCCTTTGCAACCTTTCGGTCTTGCAATCTTCTAATACTTCGACTCTTCTGATCTTCTATCATTCAAAGTTTCTTCCTGGTTGTTCGAGACATAACCTTGCGGGTTATGGTTCTAGTTGATTTAACTATCCAAAACGTAACCATTTAGATTACATATTCGGACTATTCAAAATGAAGAGTTGGAATCCTAAGTCTAAAAGATAAATAAATTGGGGACAAAAATTCCTAATCATTTGGTATCATCAAAATCTAATTACAAATGTTCCTAACGGTTTGGTAGGCGCAAGGGCCCGTCGACCTTTTCTTGCCATAGCGTGGCCGACGAGGTGGCGCAACAATGATGCTCACACTAGTGGGGAGTGGTAGTTTGGGTAGGTGCGGATTTGGGATCATGGTATGAAAGTAGGGTCGTACATATGCAGGCGACATGGATGGTGAAGGTGCTCCCGTCGACGGGAGTGTAGGAATGCATACATGGGAATGAGGGGGAAAGAAGGGTGTGAGCATGGTGGCAAGGGAGTCACGAAATGTCTTTGCCTACTGGCGCTTGGCCGGTGGGGTGAGCTCGCTAGATTTCCCAAGATGTGTCATGGGCAACGACGGTCGAGCGCCCCTAAGTAGGCAAGGCCATGGAGGTAGCTTGGTGTGAGGATGTATGGCAGAGGGGTGAGGTAACTTGGTGTGAGGGTGTATGACAGAAGGGGTGAGGGGGGGGGGGGTAAAGAATGTGGGTGAGATAAAACTGGTGATAGATCTCATCACTGCACTATGTTTACTTATTTCCAGTGTTGTAAGTCAAACACGCTTAACCACAGAGTTCTTTGTAGAGCTGTCAAAACGGGCTCAACACGTTGAGTTGGGCCCGTTTAACCAGTATTTTAGACGGGCTGCGTTGGAGAATTTCTAAACTGGCCCGTTTTCAACTCGACCCATATAACCCGTATCTCACCCCATTCGCACCCCAAACCCCCACCTTCAAATTTGTTGTGTAATTGCATATTGTATTAATATTTAAAAATGTTGTTGCTAACCAAACTTAAATCCTTAACTTATCACTAATGAAACCAACTATGCTAAGAACACCTTTTGAACATTTTTATATAATTATATATTTATTTAGATCATTCACAAACATTATGTGTGTGAATATAATTAATTGTATCTTTATATAATTATTAATATAAAGTTTATTTATTATATGAATTATATAAAGTTATAAACTATATATTTTATAAACTTTATAACTTAATGATATTATAATTACAAAATAAAAATATTACATGTAAACTATATTAGTATTAAATATAAATTATGCCAGTTGAAGGGGGAGAGAATGAGGAGGACGAAGAGGAAAGTGGGAACTCTAGTGATGGGAATGCCAGTTGGAAGGAAAGAAGATCGAAACTTGAGCATGACCCGCAAACTACCGAACCAACCTTGAATCTCCTCTTGGCTCAAATGATCAAGCAAAACCGAACCATGGAACATGGGTTTACTACGGTGAATGGGAGACTCGACTCCATGTGCCTAAGGATATCAGCTTTAGAGGCCAGATATGGTGAAAGTAGACCTTTGTGTGCAGCCAGTGCTAGTGCTGGGACATCAGCGGGCAGGGCAAGCATCCTTCCTCAAGACGAAGATCAAAGTAATCTTGATTCAAGTCTTAGTTTGGTTTCTAGTGTAAATAACCTAAATCTTATTCTTGTTAAACACCTTAAGTATAATCTAGCTTTAGTTAATAAGTACTTTTAATTTTGTGGTATGCTTAGAGTAAGTGTGGGTAAGTATGGGTAGTTCGGTACGTAGCCTTAGCTAATTGACTTGGTGAAAATCTTCTTCCAACAAATTCTCCTTCCGTTAATCCACCTTTGATTCTTGTCACACGACCTACACTCCAAAGCTGTTTATAAAGACCTAAACCTCATTTGCATCTAAGCTTCGAGGACGAAACTTCTTTTTAGGGGGGAAGGGTGTGACACCCTGGAAATTATTCTTGTAAACCCAAATTAATTCCTTGAATATTCCCTAAGGATGGATTTAATCCTCCTATTTACCTTTTCAATTCTTTTATAATTTTTCCTTGAACCTAGTTAAGGGATCTATTTGGACACAATCCCTTAACCTTTTAAATATGGTCAATGGGTTAGACCTTTATTTAATAAGCCTTTGGACCTTAACCTTTATTTAAAAGGAGGGTATATTCTTTCTAGCCTTTATGATGATATTAGGAGGCCCGTATTTGACATTTCAGATTTTTCTAACTTGAGACCCAAGCTACAACCTAAAGACACTCACCCTTGAACCCTTACACTTAGCCAAAAACACTCTCAAACATTTCAGCCTCACCACAACACTCTCTCACGCAATTTTCCCATTCTCCCACCATACCAAAAGTGTTCTTCATTTCCCCAACCAAGAAGACTAACAAGATTTCACCTTTCTCTATCACCAAGCATATGAAGGGTAAGTATTAGGTGTTTATAGACCTATTTCATGGTTTTACATCTATAATATCTAAGTCTCCTTTGTATGTTGGGTTTGGGGCTATGGTGAAGATCCCATTGAGGAGGACTTGCAAGAGTGATCTTGAGGGTTTGGAAAGTATGCTAAGCTAAGAAGGTAACCCTATGTCCAACAAAATCTATTTTCTTTGCATAAATGTGTTTCTTGATGATCATGTGTGGTGTGATGCATACTCTTGTGATTATGTTATTGTAGAGCTTGTATTTAGGGTTATGTGATGCTATTTGATGAGCAATTCCTTCTATTCAAGTCATATTTGTTGTGGACGTGAGTATTGATGAGTTTGGAGTTGGATTTCACATTCTTGCCATTTTTTTTCGCAATCTCATTTTGCTACAGGCCCGCGTACCAGCGGGAACTGTTGCACCCGCCGGTGCATTCTACTCAGCAGGGGTTCGATGGGTGGTTTAGAGCCCGCTGGAACCACCCGCTAATACGGTGTGGGGATTCGGCGGGCTCTTTTCCACCCGCCCAAACCACCCACTGGTACCGATGTTGTTGGTTTCCATTTTGTTGTATCCCCGAGTATTTGCATGTATTTATTGATGTTTCGTAAGTCTAGAGCGGTGTATTATGAACCCCATGAATAGGTTATGAGTCTTGAATCGTGGTTATAATCCAGTATTGTTATTCGTTGGATTTTGATGAAGTCTATGATATTCATGTGAATCATAATGATTACCTTGTTGGCTTGCATGCTAGTAACATTGTTTCTTGGTACTAGTATGTGATTTCCTTGTGATAACCTTCTTGATTCTTGATTGAATTGATAACTTGTGCTTATCCATTCGTTGTGACCTCTTGTTGGAATCCCTTGATATAGTAGTATTGCCTTTGAATTATCTTCTTCGTATTTCTTTCTTGAATTCCTTTCACTTTGATCTATCATTGTGAGCTTGTATATTCGTTGTATCTTATCTAGATGATTCTTTGATTTAGCTATTGTTTGAGCTTATCTGTTGTTGTACACACTTCTTGTTGGATCTATACCTTTGCTTTGTATCTTTAGATTCCTTGTGTATTGAACTCTTGTGGTGATGATTGAGTTGGTATGATAGACAATGAGGACTTTTCTTAACGGGATTCGAGATAATGGTATTATTGAATCGGGACTCAGTCCCCGCGGAATTATTGAATCGGGTCCTTTGACCCCACAAAAACCATAATCGGGTCTTAGTGACCCTGCGGAAATCTCAATCAGGTCTACTACCCCGCGGTATCCATGCTAGGGTCTTTGACCCCGCGGTACTTACTAATTTGAGATCCCTCATACTGATCCATTATGATTCGAGTTGTTGCGATGACTCCGCGGTGAATGACTTGGTTTGACTATGTCCTTTGAGGATTTGAAACCTTGTCGGTGATTGATTGTGTAACATGATAAGAACCACCTTGTTGATGACTGTGATTACTCTATCTTGCTTGTTATTCTTATTCCATTATCATTGTCTTATTGAGTTGATTCTATTGATATTCTTGTGTGATGATTGGTATTGTCGAGTACATCCCTCGAATAGTCGAGTATTGCTTCTATTCCTCATGATTTATAAAGCTAGTGTTTCTTAGTGATATACTTATGTATTCCTAAGTCTTAAAATAGTTTTATAAGTATATGAATATGTATTTCAACGCGTTGGAGTTGGATTACTTAGCAATATTTGCTAACGGTTATTATATTATGTTTTCAGGTATGGTTAGTCGGTCCGAGAACGCGTTAGATGGAGCCCCGGTTTAAACTAGCTTATCTTTCTAGTTTTAGATGTTCTGGCCTATGAGCCATTTTGGATAATGACGACTTTGGATTTGTAGTTAACTTTCTTTTAGCCTGTGCATCTAGGTTGATGGCCTAGATGTGACGTGACATCCCCTTACACTTATGTTAGCTTCCGCAGTTTTTATATTATGATGGTTATACTTTGCCTTTATTTCTTAAGATAAATGTTTAAATTTATGTCTAGTTTTGGCGGTGTTATAACACAAACCACGCACCTTAAGCACACAAACAAAGCACCTTAAGAACACAAACAAAGCACCTTAAGAACACAAACAAAGCACCTAAAGTTTTAAAATGACGCACCTTTAGTTTCAACAACTGACGCACCTTAAGAATGAAAACCACGCACCTAAAGCTTTAGATCGACGCACTTGAGTTTTCAACAATTGACGCACCTTAAGCGACACAGTACAAAACCACGCACCTTAAGCACAAAAATCATGCACCTTAAGAAGGGAAACATGCACCTTAAATCTGACTTAGATGCAAAAAGATCAAATTACTACCGCATTTTTTTAATCATTGTTAATTCTGAACGTTGATTTAGGCTAGATCAATGGCTCAGATTTAACCGCACTAACCCCACGAGACACACCCAATCACACGGGAACTGATTCGTGTGTGTGTGTGTGTGTGTGTGTGTGTGTGTATGTGTGTGTGTGTGTGTGTGTGTGTGTATATATATATATATATATATATATATATATATATATATATATATATATATATATAGTGCAATCAGGCCCTTAAATTTTTAAAAAGTGCAATTAAACACTCAAACTTGTCATTTTAGTGCATTTAAACCCAATAGCAGGTTCATCTGATATGGTTTGCTTTCAAAAAAAAAACACCCAATAGCAGGTTATTCACTTGGAATAATAACCAGTCATTAAGGTTCCGGTGACAATTCTAAAAATAATTTCAGCGACTAAAAAACTTCGACGACCGTTCAAATTAAAAAAAATCCCAACTACCGTAGTCGGTCTTCTTCTTCACGGGAGAAGGTGACCATATCTATCTAGTCGTCTTCTCCATCGACAATTGAATAATTTTTTTAAGGGCCGTGAACAATAGTTAACGGCAGTAATTTTATCGCTAACCTATTAGTTATTGATAAACTCGACTTATTTGACTAATTTTAACAAGTTTGAGTGTTTAATTACACTTTTAAAAGTCAAGTATCTAATTATAGAGTAAAATTCAAGGGGTGGCCCTTAATTTTATCATGGGAAAATGGCACTTTTTCCCCTATGTTGTTTGCTTATAGCACATTTTCCCCCTATGTTATTTATGTAGTCACTTTATCCCCTCAATTATTTCTAAAGTGGCTATTTTTCCCCCTCTCCGTTAACTAAATGTTTAGACTGTTAAATGTAAGGGTAAAATGGTATTTCATTTTTTCTTTTTTAATAAAAATGGAGGGATTAACTGGTATTTCACTTCCTTCTCTTAGAAATTCATATTGCATTAATTAAAATGTACTCCATAATCCATTCTTTCATCCGTCCACAGATCCCTGGAATTCTGGAAACATAAGCAAATAATTATTAAATTAAATAAACAAATAAACAAAAGAAATAGCACAAATTCCAAGAAATATAAACAAACAATATTAAATTAAATAAACAAATAAGCAAAAGATAGCACAAATCTATGAAAACATAAACAAACAACTATTAAACTAAATAAACAAATGATAGCACATATACCAGAGTAAGGATTAATAGGAAAATAATGATATAGCAGACAATGATCCTTCAGGCATGTTTTAATTAAGGGGATATGACGAATGATCAATACTCGTACCAGGCCAAATGCAAGATGGGTGCCCGCCTCGCCGGTTACAGCAACAGGTATGAAGATAATTCAATCTTTAATTTCTTATAATAATATAATCAAATACAAATGCTATAAAGATATAAGGTTTCAAGAAAAATTTACAATTTAGAGTTTTATCCAATCCAAGCACCCTCCTGCTACTCATGGTTGCGTTAATTTTTTCCGATTGCTTCAAGATGGGGTGTTCTTTCCTAGATTATAGAGAGTTAGGGTTAGGCAGTGTATGTGGAGTAATGTTTTGTTGGAGAAGCTAAGGAAAATGAGTGAAATACCGGTGAACGTAGCCCTCCATCTTTATCATAAAAAAAAAAAAGAATAAAGAATAAAGAATAAAGAATAAAGTGAAATATCATTTTTACCCTCACTTTTAACAGTCCAAACACTTAGTTAACGGAGAGGGAGAGAAATAGACACTTTAGAAATAATTGAGGGGAATAAAGTAACTACATAAATAACACAGGGGAGAAATGTGTCATTTTCCCTTTTATCATTTATAAAAACATCTTATTATACAATTAACTATCGCCCAACAGCCAAGTATCGGATCGCTCTCTCAAATAAGGAGTATACTTCTATTACTGGTATGTTTTTCCTCCTTTCAAGCCACGATCCTCATTCTGTAGTAGCAGTGCAGAAAAAGGAAGAGAAAAACAGAACTTGAAAACAGGGTTTCTTTTTCATTGATCCTGAAAAATTCACAATCATCGTACAGCTATAATAATATTTCACAAATCACAATCACATTTTGTTCGATATATTGTAGCTAAATCAGGCAACTGGATTATTCAACCAACCGACAGAAGAGAAGGATGCACATCAGATGAACGGAGCTCCTCTCTGAAGAGATCTAATAGATGTCGGGTGGAGGTGTCGCCCCGACCACCCCCGCCGTTCCTTCCCAAACACTGGGCGGGCATTCTCGCTGTGGTTGGGTTCTGGGCCCCTCGTTGGACAAGATCATCAAGAACGTTGCCTGGAGGAAACACTCCCAGCTGGTGGCTGCCTGCAAGTCCGCTCTCGACAAGCTCGATTCTCTAGTCGATGACCCCCTCGATCCCGCTTCCTGCTCCCCTCTCTACGGCCTCTCACCCTCTGACGCTGATTTCGTCTTGCAGCCCCTCATCCTAGCCCTCGACTCTGCCTCCCCAAAGGTCGTCGAGCCCGCTCTCGACTGCACCTTCCGTTTGTTTTCTTTCGGCCTTATCCGCTGCGAGATCGAGATTGGAACCTCCCCTTCCCATATTTTCCGCATCATTGATTCCGTCTGCAAATGTGGCTCTCTAGATGACGAGGCTGTCGAGCTTGCCCTTCTTCGCGTCCTCCTCTCTGCCGTTCGATCCCCCTACGTCCTTATCAGGGGAGATTGCCTGGTGCACATTGTGAGGTCTTGTTATAATGTCTATCTCGGTGGCTTGAATGGCACCAATCAGATCTGCGCCAAGTCTGTCTTAGCTCAGATGATGATCCTTGTTTTCACTAGAGTTGAGGAAAATTCCATGACCGTCCACTTCAAGACTGTTTCTGTAGCTGAACTCTTGGAGTTCACCGATAGAAATTTGAACGAGGGCAGTTCTATTCAGTTCGCTCAAGATTTTATCAATGAGATTGTGGACGCCAAAGCTAAGGAAATACTTCCTGATTCCAAACTGTCATTGTTATTGGAGAATGGGAACATTCAAAGCAAAAGTGAAATTGTTGATGATGAGGAATCGAGGGAAGGGGTTGACCTGGGTATCTACAGCAAGATCCGAGAGGATGGTTTTATGCTTTTCAAGAATTTATGTAAATTGTCTATGAAGTTTTCATCACCAGAGCACAGTGATGATCAAATTTTGTTAAGAGGGAAAATACTTTCATTGGAGCTCCTCAAGGTTGTCATGGATAATGCAGGCCCCATCTGGCGCTCTAGTGAGAGGCTAGTATTGAATTTCTCTCAATTGTTGCTTCAGCCTAACTTGTCTATGCATATAAAATGCAGCACATGTTCATTTATCCCTTTCATATTGTCAGTTCAACTATCTTGCTGCTTTTCTGTTTACATAATGTTCTATGTTGTGTAAAATGTTGAGCTTTTTTGCTTGATCTTTTTGCCAGATGATTAGACCATCAGGTTTGGATGGCAAAATCCTCTTAATTCTGCTATACTATATACATAGTAGTATGAAGAGCAATCTCTTTAGCTAATTGGAAATTTAATTTTCTTTCCTGCCAATGCATTCTTAAAATCTTATCCTGGTATATATCAACTCAAATGTGGCAGACACTCTGTTATCAATGATACATACATAAGTCTATTTCATTGTAGTGTTAGGATCAGAGGTTGACAAAATGCTGGAAGGGAATAGAGAATGGAATTTGAATTAATTGAGAAACTGTGGTATATTTTATAGTCTCGTGCAACTTTCTTGGGTTATTGTAGATGAATATTTGATTGCAATTATTGAGAGGGACATACTAGAGACAAGTATAGGAAGGTTAATAAGGTTATAGAAAAAATTCAGTACATTTTGGTTATCATGAGCTAGAGATGTCATTTATTTATAGTTATATAATTGTCAATTACCCATGGGTATTTTGTCAGTTTTTGTTTCATTTGAAATCCCAGTCATCTTTGGGAATTATACGTTAATATCTCCCTACTTTCTGTTTTTCATCTTTCAATAGTTATTCTTACTAGAAGGTACTTATGACCAAAGTATACCTAGTAGATCATATGTTTCTTCAAGATCTGACATGTTTTCTCTTTACACAGGTTTCTAAATGCTATCAAGCAGTTTCTTTGCTTATCATTGTTGAAGAACAGCGCATTGTCTGTTATGACTATTTTTCAACTTCTTTGTTCAATTTTTGAAAATCTATTATCGAAATATAGATCTGGGTTAAAATCAGAAATTGGAATCTTCTTTCCTATGCTGATCCTACGTGTGCTGGAGAATGTTCTTCAGCCTAGTTTCTTACAGAAGATGACTGTTCTGAGTTTATTGGAGAAGATTTCTCAAGATCCTCAGATTATAATTGATATTTTTGTCAACTATGATTGTGATGTGGATGCTCCAAACATATTTGAAAGGTAACTCAAGTTTGTTATATTTAAGTTTCCAATTGTTTTATTATCACGTAAACATTGCACAATGGTGTTCCCACTATTTGTTATCGACTATCCTTTTTTGGCCCATTTCTTAATTGCTCATTAAGGACATGTTTGGTTAAGAAGCACATAGTGAAGGAGTTAACAATTCCTTAACTTTCATAATTCTTATGCTTGGGATTATTTATCCCACCTTGCCCCCCCCCCCCCCCCCCCCCCCCACCCTCTCTCTTCTTTGTGTTAGTCCTCAATTTGTGGGGATAGGGATGGACCCATCACCCAAAGCCAACCCTTATTATAAAGCAATTTTGTATTAGAGTGGATTGTTAATTAAATCCCCCTTTGGTCCATGAACCAATCGACACCTTAGAAGTTGATTGGTACATTTGATTGGGTAGGATTGGACCTACAATCCCATCCAATCTCTTGTTTGGCTGCATTTTAACACTTTGTGGTTTGATTAGGTCGTAGGACCCTATCTAATCCCAAACGTTTAGATAAAAATAAAGACGCTGACCAGGAGTGGAATGTGTAACTCCAAATTGTGGCATTGAATTAGAGAAGTAAGCCCCTAACTGGGCGTTTGGTTGCAAGGAGGGAATTAGAGGGGAAAGGAATTGCAATTCCATGGGAGAGGAATAGTATGAGAATAAGTGAGAATTTAAATTCCAGTGTTTGGTTTGTAGGAATAAAATTACTGGGTGGGCGTCGGCCAGGTTGGCCGAGTTCAGCCCCAGCTCGATTTGAGACGTGATGTTGTGGTTTACCATGGAGGGATGTAGTTAAATGGTTAATGTCCATCTACTTGTCACCGATTGGTTTTAAGTAGGGTATGACAAATAAATAGCCAAAAAACTCCGTAGTTAAGCGTGCTTGACTTAAAGCAGTGGGTCTGGGTGACCCACTGGGTAGTAAGCAGCGCTGAGATCCATCACTAGGAATTTCAATTCCAGTGTTTGGTATCCATTGGAATTGAAAAGGAATAAGTAATATAAAGACCAAAATGCCCTTTTACTACCTCCGTTTTGAATCCGACACTCTATCCTACTTCTCACACAATATATTTCTAAAAAAAATTCACCTCGTTCAAGAACCCTAACTAAATGAACAAAATACATTCAAATGAACAACGAAGATGCAGATAAGTGAGTAGATAGTGTAAAGAAAACCCAAGAAAATAAACCCTAGATTTGAATTTAAAGCAATAAAAGAGATAAGAGACTTTTGAGAAAACATGCTTGAGGTTAGACTATTGACTATTGCTCAGAGATAGGGTCGAGTGTGTTGGCAAATCTTCGAGCTGGCGTTCTGTGTCGAGAGACCAGAGAAGAAGATACATGATGAGAAGGAGAGGTGAGCAGACAAATGAAACATCAATTTTAGGTTAGAAAAGAGAAGAGTAATTTTGTCTCAAGGGTATCTTTTTTTTTTTTTTCGATTCCAAAAAAGGTGTAATTGAAAATACCAAGGGGAGACATGGGATTCTAATTCCGTGAAAATTAGGGACCAACCAAACGAAGAAATTTGCTTGCTTTCGGAATTAGGTGGGAGTGGAATTCTATTTCCCTCCAACCAAACGGGCTGTAATTGTTAGACAAGTATTGCTTAATAGTTAGTGGTCTAATCTTTTATGAGTTCCAATTATTTGATTCAGATAGAAGTCTTTGTATTAGTTAGTTATTTAGTCTTAAAGTGATTATTAGTTTTTGTAGTCTTATATTTCCCTATTATAAAAAGGGGAATCATTGGATTAATAGGAGTAGAAGTTTACATCCCAAAAGGGGACTTTGAAGTGTGGTAGAACACTTCTTCCTGTTCTTTCTTCCAATTGTGACATAGACCATAACTCTTGGTTGCATTGCCGGCATCATGGGTGAATCTGTCTGAGTTCAAAGCTCTTAAAGAATCAGTGAACGAGTTAAAGTAGTTAATGAACAAGTACTGCATACGTCTCAAAGAATTGGGTGAAGATGATGATGAACTAAAGCAGTTGATAGCTAAATTCCTCAAAGACCAAGACAAAACACTAAAAACCGATACACCCACTTCTTTGAAAATTCAGCAAACAGAGGGTGATGTTACTTCACTCAATGTGGATGATTCATCCTTCACAATCATTATTGATCGCCCATGTTTTGATATTGCGCCTATTCAAGCCAATTTTTTGGCCGATCAACACGGGAGGGCTGCTGATTTTCCAGAAATTAACAATGTGTCCTTTCTAGGAACTGTCCAGGGTTATTTTGCCACTCTACAGCCCATATCGTTCTGTGATTGTGCCATATGGTAGTGGTCACTGGTTAGTCTTCATCTACGGGATCTCTCCCATCTTCTAACGCTGTGCCTCTAAATAACTCACCCGAGAAATTACTTTCAACTCCTTTTTTCCATCCTCTACCTCATGCCTCTTCTTCTCCTTCAGCTATTATCTTTTCCTCTGAATTTCTGAACATACTACTTTAGTACTTTCATGGTCCAAGAAGGGGGGGTATTGCCTTGGAGTAATATGGCAGTCTATGTTGCCAATATATGGGGAAAAGAGGGTTCCTGTTGGTGACTGTATATGACAGAGTTGTTAGTTTATGACAATGGCTAGGTAGAGAGATGGCGACAGTGAGTACTGTACTAACTGGAACTTGAACCTAGGACCTAGGGTCTTGGTTCAAGTTCCCCTATTTACTGAACTGGTATGTGTCTGCGTGTATATAGTCGTTGGAGCCAGGTATTCTGGTTCCAGAATTTTGGAAGTGGAACTAAACTGCAGTCATGCCTCAGTGGGGATAATAATATGGATCTAAATTTGCGTAACTATGTTTATTGTTTTACGCAGATTTTTAATGGCCATTTAGGTCAAAGTTTTGAAGTAATGTAAATATATTGTCAGGCATGTTTGGTCCATATATAATGCATTATTATTTTTTTAAAGATGAAAGTCTGATTGCATAGTGTCCAGACTTTGACATTTGCTTTATCCCACCCTGGATTCTTCCCTCTGATTTTTCTCCTTCCTTTTGAATAAAAGCACTTGATGCAGATAACTCACTATTCCCTTCCTCCATTTTGTTACTACTGCTGCCTCATGGTGGCCGTCTTCACCATGTAGTCCATGCACATTTTTGGCAGCTGATGACTGTTATCTGTATATGCTTATCTCAATTCCGACATATCTGTATGCTGGTCTGACACTGCTGTACCACAACAATGTTGATTTTGACTCAAATTTCACTCTACTTGTGTGATACATGCTGGGGCCATGATTATTTAGGAAGTCTTATTTTATTACCATTACATTACATAGTTTAGATATTAAGAAATTACTAAATAGTTATTTAACTTATTACTCTTAGTCTTCGAATTAGTTTAGGTAGTTTAATTTTTTGGAAACTACCAAATAATTAATCATTTTTAGTTTAGGAATCTTTGTAATCAGCCATATAAAAGGGACAATTTAGAATAATGGGAAGCAGAAATTCAAACCCAAAAGGGTCTAAGGGGGTTTTGGGTCTCAAGCAAATCCATCGTTTTCTCCTTTTCCTTTTCAAACTACTTTTCTTGTTCTTTTCTTTTATGTTTCTTGCCTGTGATGGGAGCATATAACATTATGCTCAACCTCATGCCTTATTTTGGTTCACCTCCATGCTAGGGTTCGAATCTTCTGGAGAGGGCTCATGCCTATGTGGCTAGGATTGTAGGAACCAAATGGCAAATGGGGGTATTTGTAGCTGCCAGGTACAAAGCAGCTGGTGGGGACCCATATTAGAATAACACCCAAGCCCCTCTGTGGGTTGGCATTTCTTTCAGGAAAACTCACAATTTTCAAACATCAGTTTGAACTTTTGGGTTCAATTTCAACTTTGCAGATTCAGTCTTGACAGATTGAATTGCCTGATCTTTACCTCTTACCTATTCCTCCAAGTATCCAGCATCATTGACATGTTAATAATATTTCTGCTTGTAAAGATCTTACTCTCTCTGATTGATTGATCTTATTCAGAAAAAAGTGCACTGGTTCATATTTTGCTGTCTTAGTGACATTCAGTTATTCTTCTTGCTTTAAATTGTTTTAAAATACTGTTCATTTTTATATATTTGCAGAACTGTCAATGGCCTCCTCAAAACTGCATTGGGTCCACCTCCTGGTTCCACTACCTCTTTGTCCCCGGCTCAAGATATGACATTTCGGCTTGAATCAGTGAAGTGCTTAGTCAGAATAACAAACTCCATGGGTGCATGGATGGATCAACAACTGAAGGTAGGGGAATCCAATCCAGTAAAGTTCTCTGATAGTGAAAGTAAGATGGAAAATATTACTCCACATAGTGAAGAGGGAAACCTGGCTGACTTTGAGCTGCATTTAGAGGCGAGTTCTGAGTTCTCTAATGCTGTTACCTTGGAGCAGAGGCGAGCTTATAAACTGGAAATACAGGTTAATTAATAGTATTCTTAAAAGTGATAATTAAGGGGTGGTTTTGTAACATTTTTTTATTTATGTTTATTTATTTATAATAAATGTTCTGAAAAAAAGAATGTTGTTTTATTAAAGAGAATCTAAACATGTTAACATCTAGGGTTTCATGTTTTGTTTGTAATGTAACAGGTAGTAAAATGGGAGTTGTTCACAAGGGTGAGTGGGATGATTAGTTGAGTTCTTGGGTAATGGTTAATGTGAAATGTATTCATAAAGTAATGTTACTGCGTCAAAGGATGGCCTAGGGTGGGTTGAGATAAGGTGGATGCGGGTTCGTAAAGAAAAGTGGGCTGAGGTGGGTTGGGTGTTAGGGGTATGGGTAAGGGTGAAGGAGGTGGGGTAGGGGTGAGGTAGGGGGTTGTTATATGCATACAGATTCTGTTGTTTTTGTCAAACAGATTTTGAAAACAAAAACATGACAAAAAAGAAACTAAATGTTACCAAACAGCCCCTTAATTGTTTTTTATTGTTTCATTCATAGTTCATGTAGTTATCCCCTTTCTTTGCAAACATGGTTGCAGAAAGGTGTATCTCTGTTCAACAGAAAACCTTCAAAAGGGATTGACTTCTTAATGAATACCAAAAAGATTGGTAATTCCCCTGAAGAAGTAGCTTCATTCCTGAAGAACACTTCTGGACTAAATGCTACTATGATTGGTGACTATTTGGGTGAGAGGGAAGAGTTCCCTTTGAAGGTTATGCATGCATATGTTGATTCATTTAATTTTGAGCAAATGGATTTTGGTGAAGCAATCAGATATTTTCTACGAGGTTTTAGACTACCTGGTGAAGCTCAGAAAATCGACCGTATAATGGAAAAATTTGCTGAGCGCTACTGTAAATGCAATCCAACTTCTTTTACAAGTGCAGAGACAGCTTATGTCCTTGCTTACTCTGTGATTATGCTCAACACTGATGCACACAATAACATGGTGAAGGATAAGGTGAGCTTGTTGAAGCTGTTTATTTCCTCTTTACAAAGTTGTTATACCATTGTTCCTATTAATCAATTCAATGCAAAGCTCTTGAGAGAGGTGCCCAAAAGGGGGAGGGGGTAATCGGGCTGTGAGGTTTGTATTATCTAACTACTAGTCCATGAATAATTCACCTTGGTTTTTATGCTTTACAAAATAGTGATGCATTGGAGGCCAAATGGCAGCTTTTTCAACCACGTAAATTATGTCTTTTCATTGTCCTGAGTTCCATTATTATATTACAAACCTGGGAACTCTTAATATATATTTTTTGGTAGTTGTAGGATAAATTTTGGGCTCACTTCTGACTTGTCTCTACTGGTTTTGCCTTCTAGATGACTAAAGCTGATTTCGTCAGGAATAATCGCGGAATTGACAATGGCAAAGACTTACCTGAAGATTACTTGGGTTCCCTGTACGACCAAATTGTGAAAAATGAAATAAAGATGAATGCAGATTCTTCTGCACAACAAAGCAAACAGGGGAACAGCCTGAATAAGCTTTTGGGCTTGGAAGGTATACTAAATCTAGTGTGGAAGCAGACGGAAGAAAAGCCATTGGGCACAAATGGAGATCTTATAAGGCATATACAAGAGCAGTTCAAAGCTAAATCCGCAAAATCAGAGTAAGATAAGATTTGACAGGTTTATTCTGAAATGTTTATCTAGCAAACCAAATGTTCTAATGGAAATTGCCATGTGATAGGAGAATGATTCTCTCATGCTGCCTTTTTCCCTCAAATTTTGAACACTATTTCTATCTTTTTGTCCTTTAAAAAAAATAATTTTATTTCATTTTTTTTCCTGAAAATGTTTCTGAAATGAATAACACCATTGGAACTTAAATTTCTCTTCCTCTGCAGGTCAATTTTTTATACTGTTGCCAATCCAGCAATATTGAGGTTCATGGTTGAAGTTTGCTGGGGCCCAATGCTTGCTGCATTTAGTGTAACGCTGGACCAGAGTGATGACAAGACTGCTACTGCTCTGTGCTTGCAGGGCTTCCGACATGCGGTCCATGTTACAGCAATGATGGGTATGCAGACACAGAGAGATGCTTTTGTCACCACCGTTGCTAAATTCACTTATCTCCATTGTGCTGCAGATATGAAACAAAAGAATGTTGATGCTGTGAAAGTAATTTCTGTTTCCCTTTATTTATTTATTTTTATTTTTGGAGGACTTAATAGATTGGTCATTTCACATTTAGATTTGGGGACATTCATTTTCTCCAATTGTGATCTAAATGTTCCAATCCTAAACATTTGTAAATGCTTGCCTGTTAAATTCACAGAAATTCTTTTTTCCCTTTAACTAAGAAAAATATAGGCGAGCTTAGGTAACAACTAACAAGGGAGACCTTTCCACTAAGGTCCAAAACATAGCTGAGAAAGTAATTTAGATTTGTGAAAGCTTAATAAATTAGCCTGTAATTAAGAATTAAATCCCTTCTACACTAGTAACTACCCAATTTTTTATCAAGCATTTCAATTATTTGGCAGTTGTAACTAGTGCTTTGCTTTGTAGGCAATAATATCCATTGCCATTGAGGATGGTAATTTTCTTCAAGAAGCTTGGGAGCATATTTTAACATGTCTATCCAGATTTGAGCATTTGCAACTGTTGGGGGAGGGGGCACCATCTGATGCATCCTTTCTTACAACCGCAACTGCTGAAACTGAAGAAAAAGCTTTGAAGTCAGCGAGCTTTACTTCTCTGAAGAGAAAAGGAACACTTCAAAATGCAGCTGTTGCTGCAGTTGTCCGGGGGGGCTCATATGATAGCACCAGGCATGGAGTTAACTCTCCAGTGCTGGTGTCTCCAGAGCAAATAAACAACTTCATTTCCAACTTGAATCTGCTTGATCAGATTGGGAATTTTGAGCTTAACCACATCTTTGCTCATAGCCAAAGGTTAAACAGTGAGGCAATAGTGGCTTTCGTGAGAGCTCTTTGCAAAGTGTCCATGTCAGAATTACAATCTCCAACAGATCCTCGTGTATTTAGCCTTACAAAAATTGTTGAAGTTGCGTAAGATTCTTTCCTTGAATTTATCAAATATTGCCTCTAAGCCTTCTGTATGCTGAAACACTCTACAAGTTGATGGGATGAATGGTACCAATCTATTTACTTTATTTTATTTTATTTTATTTTTTTAATTTTGCAGGCACTATAATATGAATCGTATTAGATTAGTATGGTCTCGCATATGGAGTGTTCTTTCCAATTTCTTTGTGGCTGTTGGTCTGTCAGAAAATCTTTCCGTTGCAATTTTTGTCATGGATTCACTTCGGCAACTTGCTATGAAATTCCTTGAGCGAGAAGAGCTGGCAAACTATAATTTCCAAAATGAATTTGTGCGACCCTTTGTGATTATTATGCAGAAAAGCAGCTCTGCTGAAATCAGGGAGTTAATTGTTCGGTGCATCTCTCAAATGGTCCTTAGCCGTGTCAACCATGTAAAATCTGGATGGAAGAGTGTTTTTATGGTAACCGTTCATTTTAGGAGAAGTTAAGGTTATTAATAAAATCTGTGTTATTTGAATATTTTTGGGTGTGTATTTCAAATTCATGGTGTTTTGTTTATGTAGTTTCTTAATGAACTTTTTTTTTTAAAAAAAATTAGAAACTGTTCATGAAAATTCTGTGTTGTCTAATAAATTTATTACTCCCAATATTTTGGGTTAGAGGGATTAATTTAGATGAAGGTTGTGCATTGATTTAGATGAAGGTTGTGCCATAAAAGACAGCATGTAATTTTTCCACACCCACATGTTGTAAGTTTTTTCCTTTGAGTTTACCGAGAGAAATTTGTGTTGAATAGGTGAGGACCGTGAGGTTTAGAAGTTTGCAATGACCCTTGTAAATGTCTCACTCCCTTTCTCCCTTTTGCTTTTAAGTCATTTCAAATTGTTCAATCCCTTATTCTTGATTTTGCTTGGTTATTTGATTTCTTTAGAAGTTTGACTTAATGCCATGACCCATGTAAATGTCTCACTTCACTCATGCATCCCACTTTTCAGGTTTTTACGGCTGCTGCTACTGATGAAAGGAAGAACATAGTGCTACTGGCTTTTGAAACCATGGAAAAGATTGTACGAGAATATTTTCCTTACATAACTGAGACAGAAACTGTAACTTTCACTGATTGTGTTAGATGCCTCATTGCATTCACAAACAGTAGATTTAACAGTGATGTTAGCCTCAACGCAATTGCTTTTCTCCGTTTCTGTGCTGTCAAACTTGCAGATGGAGGACTTGTTTGCAATGAGAAAACCAAAGACAACAATTTTTCGATTCCAGCAGCAAATGACAATGCTTCAGATGTAAAATGCTTCACAGATGAAGATGATCACATGTCTTTCTGGCATCCTTTGCTCACAGGTAGATTCTTTGAGCTTAGGATTTCAAGAAGAAAAATACAGCTAGTAAAAAGATTCAAGTACTAGATAATGTCTGTGTTTTGTGGTTGTATGTTTCCATGAACTACAGTCTTTGACATTTCACTCTGTGTAGATAGATGACTTGTAGCATTGTTAGAATCTGCTCATGCATTCTTGCTCTCTTTTCCTTCTTTTGTTTCTTCTTCTTCTTTTGGGGTCTGGGTAAGATATTGGCTTTGTGATTCTACTGAGTATGCCTCACAATTAAGGTTTCTGAGGTCACTACTTTTGTTGCTTTCAGGATTATCAGGTCTGACATCAGATCCTCGGTCAGCTATTCGGAAGAGTGCTCTGGAGGTTCTCTTTAATATTTTAAAGGACCATGGCCATCTCTTCTCTCAATTGTTCTGGGTTAATGTTTTCAATTCTGTTATCTTCCCAATATTTAGTTCTGCACGTGATAAAACTGAATCAGAATTAAAGGATTACCAGTCTTCCCCAAGATCTGGATCTTCACAACCTGATGGACGGTTGTGGGACTCTGAAACTTCTACAGTGGCAGCTCAATGCCTAGCTGATCTATTTATTAGTTTCTTTGATGTGGGTAGGTCTCAGCTGCCTGGTGTAGTATCAATATTAGTAGGATTTATAAGAAGTCCTGGCCAGGGTCCTGCAAGTACTGGTGTATCTTCACTAATACATTTGGCTGGTGAATTGAGAGGCAGACTTTCAGAAGAGGAGTGGCAAGAGATCTTTCTTGCTTTGCAAGATGCTGCTGCTTCTAGTGTTCCCAATTTCTTAAAGCTTTTGCAAACAATGGATAACATTGAAATGCCTGATATTAGTGAGTCCAATAATGATATGGAAACATCATCTGAAGTTGGCTCGGTGAATGATTACTCTGAGGGCGAGAACCTGCAAACTGCTGGGTATGTAGTTTCAAGGATGAAAGGTCATATAGCTGCACAGCTACTCATTGTACAGGTATATTATTTCTATGCTTTCCTCCATTGTATATTAGGCACATTCTATAACTCCATAATTCATTTTAACAGATTATAGAACCCTGGATCTCTCTTCTCTCTCCTCCCTTTTATTTTATTTTAGTTGTTTGTGGATGGAAAAAGAAATTCTCTCATTTTTATGGCACTGTGTAATCCAATGATGTGATTTGAGCAGTGTCTTCTTTTCTGCTCCATATGTGATTTAAGGTTTGCACTGTTAAAACTTCTAGATACTGTGTATAACTGGTTTTAGTCACAAAATATATCATGATTCCTGGACTGTGAATGCTCATTCATTTCCATTTAGATAATTATCATTGATTCATTATGATATTTGTTTCATTTGAAGTAAATTTTTTTTAAACCTTGTGACAAGTGTGGTTTTTTTTTTTTTTTTCCCTATGGGTTTGTTTAGTTTGTTACTTCAGTTGCACATTTACCTCTTTTATGAAATTCCTAGACATGTTTTTTGAGTGGAATGTGCTGAGAATATTGTTTAAATTGAGGGATTGAAGGCCCCTATCAGTGAACATGAAAGTTAAAATACATCAAAATCAGAGCAAGAAAAAATATATTGATTATATTTAAAAGAGTATAATGTTTAGTGATAGTCCATTTGATACTGATACACATGCTTATATAGGACTACATAATGGGCTAAACCTAGGGTTATGCTAGGGTTTCTATATTTTGACAAATATATTGTTCTTTATGTCGTTTAATTTTCTCTGGTTTGTCAATTTACAGGTAGCCAGTGATCTCTCTAAGATGCGCCGTCAGTCAATAAGTGCTGAGACTGTCACTATCCTTCTTGAGATTTATTCATCTATTTCTTCTCATGCTCACCAGTTAAATTCTGATGGAGTCCTAGAACTGAAGCTGCAGAGAGCATGCTCAATACTAGAGATCCCAGAACCACCATTATTGCACTTTGAAAACGAGTCCTATCAGAATTACCTCAATTTCATGCATGATTTGCTTGTTAATAATAGAAGATTGGGCAAAGAAAAGAATTTAGAACCTGAACTCGTGTCTGTATGTGAGAAAATTCTGCGAATATACTTGGATTGTGCTGGGTTGAGCTCTGTACAGCAGCAAGCAGTCAACAAGCCAAAGCTTCACTGGATTCCCCCATTGGGTTCAGCCAAGAAGGAAGAATTGGCAGCTAGGACTCCTTTAGTTCTTTCTGTATTACATATTTTGAGTAGTTTGGAAGGCAATACTTTTAAAAAGTATGCTTCACAGTTGTTCCCGTTGTTGGTAGATCTAGTCCGGAGTGAGCATAGCTCTGGAGAAGTTCAGGAAGTTCTTAGTGGCGTGTTTCAGTCATGCATAGGCCCAATAATAATGAATATATGATAAATGTTCATTGTCCATGGAAGCATTTGAAATTTCAATGTAAATTAGTAGCCTGAGAGCCAGCTACTAGACTGAAATTTTGTCAATTGATATTGAGGCCATATTCTTGCTCATTATTGCTCTGGCTTTAGTGGGTGTCAATTGTACTCGTACCAAATGTGTTACCTGTCTTTTGAAAGTATTTTTTCAGCATTCTTTGGTATGTTTTAAAATTTCAAAATGTTAAATTGAACCCTTAAATTTAGAAATTGGTAAGTGCATATTTTTCAAGAGCATAACTAAGCTCTGTTATTGCCTGTTCCATCATGCAAGATTGTTGTAGTATTCGAAAAATTTGTCGGTAGGTCCGGTTCTCATAACAAACTCTAATTGTCACAAAAATTAAGATATGGATATTTCAACTTAGGGTCCGTTTGGAAAGCAGGAAAATGACTTCTGGAAAATGTTTTCTGAAAAATGAGTCATTTTCCAGAAAACATTTTCCTTTCCAGTGTTTGGCTGCATTCTGGAAAACTGTTTTTGTGTGTTTGGTTCATTTTCTGGAAAATGAGTAGAATTGTATAATTAAATATTTTAATTATTTTATTTAGAATATTACAACATGTATAATAATATATAATAATAATAATAATTTTAAATATAATAAAAAAAACTAATAATATATCAAAAATATTATGGTGGTGGTAGTGGTGTTATTTGTTATACAATAATAATAATAATAATAATAATAATAATAATAATAATAATAATAATAATAATAATAATAATAATAATAATAACTGGTGGCAGTGGTGGTGGTGGTGGTGTGGTGACGGTGGTTGCAGTGCTATGATGGTGGTGGTGGTGGCGGCGACGGTGGTTGCGGTGGTATGGTCGTGGTGGTGGCGGCGGTGGTGTGGTGGTGGTGGCGGCGCCGGCGGTGGTAGTGGTGGTGGCGGCGGCAGCGGTGGTATGGTGGTGGTGATGGCGGCGACGGTGGTTGCGGTGGTATGGTGGTGGTGGCGGTGGCGGCGACGGTGGTATAGTGATGGTGGTGGTGGCGGTGATGGTGATTGCGGTGGTATGGTGGTGGTGGTGGTGGTGGTGGTGGCGACGGTGGTATGGTCGTGGTGGTGGCGGCGGTGGTGTGATGCTGGTGGTGGTGGCTGCGGTGGTATGGTGGTGGTGGCGGCAGCGGTGGTACGGTGGTGGTGGTGGTGGCGGCGACGGTGGTTGCGGTGGTATGGTGGTGGCGGCGGCGGCGACGGCGACGGCGCCGGTAGTGGTGGTGGTGGCGGCGACGGTGGTAGCAGCGGTGGTGGTGGTGGTATGGTGTTGATGATGTTGGTGATGGTGTGATGTTGGTGTAAAAGTTGGAAAATGACTTCCCCCCAAAAAAAGGGGAAGTCATTTTCCTCCAAAACAAGCCTATTTTCCAAAGTCAACGGAAAATGATTTCCGTTGACTTGATTTTCCAGGCACATCCAAACAGTGAAAACTTGGAAAATGATTTCCAGAACTCATTTTCCAGGTTTCCAAACACACCCTTAGGTACAAATGTTTTACAAGTTTTGAGCCCGTTCTGAAAAGGTTACTGGTATTCAGAAAAATTCAATAGTAGGGTTTTTTGGAGGCTTCCGAGACTAAAATATGGTAACATACGAACTTTGATTGGCACCAAAATTGAGCAATGGACATTTCAACCAGGATAGAAGACTTCCAAAAGTTTTGAACCTGATCTGAAAAGGTTACCGGTGTTCAGAAAAACTCGTCAGTAGGGTTTTTGGAGGCGTACGGATCTCAAAAGTTTTGAGTCAGTTCTAAAAAGGTAGGGTTTTCATGGGAAATCTAGGTCTAAAATATGGCAACAAATGAACTCTGATTAACATCAAAATTGAGCTATGGACATTTCAATCCAAGTGGGAGACTTTCACAAGTTTTAAGGCCATTATGAAAAGACCACAGAACTCTCAAAAATTTGCCAAAAGGATTTCTCGGGAGATTTGGACCTTAAAAAATGACAAGAAACGAGCTTGTATTGGCACCAAAATTGAAATATAGACATTTCATCCATGGTAGAGGACTTGCACAAGTTTTGAGCTCATTTTGAAAAGGTAACCAGTATTCGGAAAAACTTGTCAATAAGGTTTTCTTAAAAAAAATATTTATAAGGTAAAAAAATTGAAAATAATTGTGTAAGTGGTAATTTGGTCAAAATTTAAAAAAAAAATATAATTTTGACCCGGGCTAATTGGCGGGCTACGAGGGTTAGCCAACGCGGGCCGCGTACCAACCTGTGGGTTTCTCATAATATATACACACACAGGCGCACGCACACAAAATAAATATTAAAAATCTAAAAAATTATGATTTTTTAATTTCTAAACAAGAAATAATATAATATTATTTATGTTACATTATTAGAATATAGAATAATGGTATAATATTTTTTTAAAAATAAAATTTTGAAGTTGGCCAGCGAGGCCTGCGTACCCGCATGAAGTGGGTTAGAGTTGCATAATTCTAGCCCGCTGGCCAATTCTCAAAGGCCTGCGACATAAAAGTTTGCGGTGAGACATACAAACTGTAGACCCGCATTGACACCTCTATATGAACATATCAATATGAAGCATTACGTACTTTTCAAATATACTCCATTAACATTATTACAATTGATAGATACCCTGGTTAGCCGCCTCGACGGGAAGGTCAGGTAAGATAGTCGGGTCAAAGCATGGCTCAATACTTAGCGTAAAGGGGATCCCCGAGACCCTTCTTGGTCATCTTATAAGACGTCTGACGACAACAGTTGCTCATCCTTCGGCAACCGAAATCTCAGCAGTCGGAGCGTCCCCGGGCAGGCACCCGGGCGAGGCTCGGTTGGGCGACCAGCCTCAGTAGTCGGCGTGTCTCCGGCTGAATACCCCAGTGGATTTAGGTGAACGACCAGGCTACGCGGGCGGTGTGTCCCCGACCAGGCGCCGTCGTAAACCCGGCTGAGAACAGGCTACGAAGGCGAAGTATCCTCGCCTAGGAGGCGATGGCCCCCAAAGAGGCTCCATGGCAACCAGGCATTCTTGACTGGGCGCGTACCCGAAAACGGACATCAGCGGATCCTACGGAAGCCGTCTCTGTTCATTTAAGTGGCTTCCTTAATTAGTCTAGAGTTCTAACGCATGTCAAGCTCATATTTTAAGCTACGAGTTTATTTGCTAATTGTTCTAACACATTACATTTTAATGCTCATGTGCATTCTACGTTTATTTTTTATTTTTATTTTTATTTTTAAAAACCGTCAACTCTATTAGAATGTAATATCTCACTCTTCTAAAGTCTAATGGATCACCTCCATTAGAACTCAAACTCATAACCTCCTATTTGAATAATTGCTTTATGCCACTTAGACTACAAGTTCATTTACATTTTCTTTTCCTATTTCACTTAGCAATATATTTGCTTACTGAAAAAAGAGGTGCATTAATTTTGAAGCAATTTCCGATCGTTTGACTGACTAATTGAAGCCAGTGGTGCAAACTTGTTTGATGGGTCTGGATCAAAGGAAAAGGAAATTTTTTAAGAATAATAATGGTAAAATAGGTTATTCAACTGCACAAAATAATATAGTTATGCAATTAAATCTAACAAAAAATAATAATTGAGTCCCTAAATTAACAAATTTCATGCAATTAGTTCAATTTACAAATTTTTCAAATAACTAACATGTCATTCCATATTTAAAATATTTTTTAAAAAAATATTATTTAGAAGACTTTTTTCTTTAATTTTAAATAATAATTTTTAAATAATAATTTTTAAAATAATATTTTAAATTTGGGATGACCTGTTAATAACATGAAAAACTTATAAAGTGGACAAATTGAATGAAATTTGTTAGTTTAGGGACTCAATTGTTATTTTTTTTAAAGTTCAGTGGCCTAATTGTATTACCGTGTGCAGTAGTTGGATAGTGTATTTGATCCTTATTCCAAATTTTTATTTGGATATACACTTGTTGATGCTTGTCTAACTAGTTGTTTTCAAGTGCTGCAAATTAAATTACTCCGATCCTACATTTGTATTTGTTCTAATATATTTCCGTATAGAGTTAATTCCAGCAATGGTCCTCCGACTATATTAATTTTTCAAAGTTAGTCTCCGACTTTTAATTTGGACACTATAGGTCCCTTGACTTTCAATTTATTTTCAATTGATGTTCTTTCATTAGAATACGGTTAATTGAACTTTAAATGATGGGGTAAACTCATCCTTTCACCTGCCTATGTATTATTCTTCGTATTTCTCCCTTCGTATTCCGTTGCTATACCTTATAAACATTTCAATAATGGAGGAACGCACACACGAGTAGTCAGCAAATGGGGAACGATGAGGAGCATTCTAGGACTTCAATTGAGATTATCTTCATATATATTGCGTATACAAGAGAGAAATATGAAGAATAATACATAGGCAGGTAAGATGACGAGTGTACTCCTTCATTTAAAGTTCAATTAACCGTATTATAACGAAATGACCTCAATTAAAAAGAAATGGCTCAAGTGCCAAATCACACCATGAACCAATTGCGATATGTCATGCCGCACCCTGATCTTTCATATATGTTGTTTCAATACACAAACCATAAAATTTTATTCGTCTAGACTTTTTAGTAGGTTTCCAGGTTGCCTTGATGACATGGCAACGATTATGTGTTGATGTGGACTTATTTTTAAGATTCAACACCCACCTCAAGGACTATGTGCTGATGTGGACTGAAGGCCATTCGACTGAGCTCCTCTTGTAAATCACCGGGAAGTTTCGCGACCTTCCTTCTCTTGGTAGATCTTCATTCTCCGATTCTCTCATACAACCGATATACTAGTGGGTTTGAGAAAGATGATGGTTGGTGCCTTCCCTACGTCAGAGCAAAACCTATTCAAGCTATTCACAAACTTCTTCACGCCTCTCTTTATTTCTATGTTCTTCTCCATATTTGTTCTCTCTGTATCACTCTCTCGACTACAGGAGCCCCGGTGAAGGCGTGCGGCGGAGGCCTTTGGTCTCCACTCTCGCCGGCAGCAAGAAGTTGACTTTTTCATATCTTCCTTCGCCGCCAGCCGCCGCCTTTGCTATTGCCGATGCCACTCACTGCCAAATAAAAAGAAAGCTTTCAAAGCGTGAATATACCAAACCTTAAATATGACTCAAGGAATAGGCGATTGAGCGGTACTGTTACTATAAACAAAATGATTGCTTCTTCTACCGAAGATCTGAAACTCAAAGAAAACGTGAATATACCCCTTTATTGCTCTTCACCCAAATCCCTTCCTACCCAGAAAGATTAGGATAGGCCTTTGAAACTGAAACCTAGATGAATTGAATTGAATTGAGTTGGTTTTGGAGCTACTGGGTTTCGTCCACCGCCGGCCTTCAATTCTTTCCCCTTCGACACTCAATCAGATTATGCCCAACCCTCCTAAAGCTCGAACAATACTTGAGAATTTTTTAATACTCAATTCTTTGCTGGAAGTCGCTAGAGCCTGGAGTTGATCATTCGCCTCTGTACGTAGACGAGTCTGCCAGTGGAATGATGAATGGAGAAAGACATTGTGGAAAAGTAAAAAAATTTGGTCAATAAAAAAATCACCTCCACCTCACCATATTATGACCTGTAACTTGATAGCAAACTGCTAAAAAGTCTAGACGAACAAAATTTTATAATTTGTGCATCAAAACAGCAGATATGAAAGATCAGGGTGCGGCATGACATATTGCAATTGGTTCAGGATACGAATTGACACTTGAGCCAAAAGAAATTGAAAGTCAAAGAACCTAAAGTGTCCAAATTAAAAATTGAGAACTAATTTTAAAAAATCAATATAATCGGAAGACCATGATTGAAATTAACTCTTTCCGTATACAACTATACATAGTTTACAAATCCGAACTCATTTAAACTCAATATTCGGATATATAGGCAAATTGTATAATGAACGAGATTCCACATGTCCACCATGTAATTAGGCACATAAAATAATAGGTAGGTATTAAAAAAAAAAGTTAAGAATATAAAATAATACTACATTTACAAGTAAAATATGAAATAAATAATAGTGAATTTACATACAAATAGAATGAGTACTCCTTACCAGGACTATGTGGTCCAATGGTATCCGGGTTGGACTTCCATTTGGAAGATTATAAGTTCGAGCCTCAGTAGAAGCGTTATTGGTTCTTTGTGTTTCAATAGGTTGAGAAAGTATATGAACAGATACTACAATGTAATAGAGCCACTTTCAAAAAAAGAATGAGTACTCCTTATGTTAGTGAGGTTTATGAACAAATTTATGTACATGTAGGTTTATTTTTATTTTTCTAAAATAAACTTTTTGAATATCATAATTAAAGTTTGTTAATAAAATATTTTATGTATTAATTTCATTTATACAAAAAAAAAAAAAAAAAAAAAAAAAAACAAAGAAAAAAATTAAGGATGTAAATTTTACACAATATAAATATTGCCATAAATAGGCAGCTAATCTAAATCAGTTGCCAACTCGTCTAACCCCAATTGTAACCACAAAATCCAGTATTGTAAATAAATCATTCAATCATAAATTTTATTTCAAACAATACCATTATTGAGTTATTGACCTACCAAGATTATGTGGTCTAATGGTACTCGGGTTGGACTTCCATTTGGAAAGTTGTGGGTTCGAGCCTTACTAGAGCAGTAGCATTCAAAAAAAAGAGTTATTGGCCTAATACTTGTCCTCTAATCCAATCACCTAGTGTAGTTTCACAATTCTTAGTGTGAGTTGCTTGTAGAAAAATAGAGTGGAACTAGTATTTACATAGAGGGAAAGTTTTGTATCCTTTTCACATTCAATAGGAGAAATAAAGGGAGACAATAGGTATTTGGTTCTGTCTTCCTCATCTTCACTACCTTTGAGTTATCATTTCCACTAGGAAGGTATAATGGTGTCCCCCGCACGGTGGGAAGGTAGATATGTTTCTTGAACTCTAAGATCCTCATGATGCGTTGTAGTGAGTTTAAGTGTAAACGGTTAATGACAGAAATAGGCAAAAAAAATTACATAGAAAACTTTTGAAAGTTAGACAAAAATAAGCAAAACTCATCACTATTATTTGAATAAAGTCTTCCAATGACTTTTTAAATTATCACCTTATCGGTGAAAGTTAAATGAAACAAAATGTTGATTAAACGACTACTTGAGCAACACGCCAAGACGTATTATTATCATATGTATAACGTAAGTTTAATGATTCTATGAAATGCTATAAAAATACTCTGAATTGATAAAAGTTCATTGGTTTGTAAACATATATGAAAATGAAATGATACAACTAATCTCATACTGCACGCCAAGTGTTTCATAAGAACCGCAAAGAAAACAATTCATATATTCACCTATGGACAATTGTATTTTGTTTGTCAACAGACTTGACGTTCTACAAAATTAAGGCCACACAAGTTCAAAAGTCACAATATATCTCTTAAATTAAATATAACATTGAAAATAAAAAAGTATAATCACTTATATGGGCATGTTTTGATTAAGAATGTATTTAATATAAATAAAGAGGAGGGCGCGCGAGTTTTTAGTCTATAATTTCATATGCTCGGGCTTCGGTTCGATTTCGATTTTTAAAAAAAAATAATAAATTATTCGATTTAACATTAGAATTTGATTTTGGCTCGGTTTAAGATCTTCAAATTTTAATATTTCTTAATTTGTTGAACATGCTATCAAACAATACATATTCAAATAATTCAAATCCAAAGTTTAAACATTATATAACAAAATAACAATCCAAAGTTCAAACACACTACTAAGTACTAATTACCAAATATCAGTTGACTTTTTTATACGACGACTCTTCAGTTGGTTCACTTGAAATATTTTATTGACAAGATGAATAATCATCTATCTGTATAGTTAATACTAGAAGAACCAGTGTCAAATATTATATAGTTAATTTTTTGACACAATCCATCATTGCTAGTGCATTGGAATATTATTTTCCAGTGCACTCGAAATATATTCTAGTACTAGAAAATAATTACAGTGCACTGGAAATTAAAATTATAATAACTATAAAGCACATTAAATTTATAGAAACATGAAACTAAGGAAAATACTGAATATTGTAAATATAACTCAAGTTAGATATAGAAACATGAAACTAAGAAAAATACTGAATATTGTAAATATAACTCAAGTTAGATATAGAAACATGAAACTAAGAAAAATACTGAATATTGTAAATATAACTCAAGTTAGATATAATTGTGATCGAGGAGAAGGATTGTGACAAACAACAAAATTACAAAGTAGAGAACATGTTATAAAGAAAATCAAATAAAAAATTTAAAAGTGATACCAGTAAGAATAGAAACTGAACGGTAGAGCATGTACAAGGAACTTGAATTTAATTCTTTTGTTTTTTTTTTTAATGCTACTGACCCTATTACAATGTAGTATCTGTTCATAATTCTTTTATTATTATTATTAAAATCAAATAATATTCGATTCGGTTTGATTTTTAGCAAATTATTTGATTCCATTAGATTTTTAATCGAACCATTCAGTTTACAAGAATTTCGAACCGTTCAATTTTTTATTACTAATTGCTCACTCCTAAGTTTGATAATGGAGAATTAGAAATCCTCCTTTTTTCCCGGCAATCTAGTTGGTTAAAAGTAGCAAGGGGGCCGGGTAGGGTGTTGGTGTTGGGGTTGGGGAGAGAAGCTTGACCGTGGCCATTCTACGTTTAACGTTCTACGCGTTGGGTTGACTTTGACTAAGCAGCCATTAATATAATAAATATAATATTGGGAAGAATATAATATTATTTAGTATGATGACTTGGTCGTCCTTCAATTAAATTCTTACAGCTGCAACCCATTGATTTGATCATCACAAGCATTTAGATTTGTGATATGAAATGAAATCAAAAGAAGAAATACATAACGTACAGCAGTGGAATTTATGTGTGGAAACTAACTGTATTTGGCGCGCCAGTCTGCAGCTCGATCAGTCAGCGGAAAAACCAAAAAAAGTCGCGACAAGTGCAAGTGCTTGCTTGCTATGTGGATCACCAGACCAGAATAGTACTCCTCCAGACTTTCCTGATTTTCCAATTATGCTCCATACCTCCTCCGATCCCTTGGATTTGGATTCAGGCTGCTGATCGAGAAAAATATAATCAAGCTAAGCTTAGGCGCGCGCGGCATAAATATAATTCAACACTGTGAGCTGAGGAGGTTGGGCCGTTCTGACATGGGAACTTGCTGGAGTAGTTCTGCTTCTCATGATAATCAGAGCCTAGCTGCTACTACTGGCCATCTTACTTCTTCTGGTATGTATCTGATTATATTATTGATTCACTAAACACCATAATCTATATCCATTCAATCCAATTACGTTCCTTCTGATCTATTGTTTATCTGCCGCATCAGGCAGGCCAGGTATATATATATATAAAGAAAAATTAAAAAGCTTTGTGGATCGGAGTAAATGATTTGGTTAAAGCTAGCTAGCTAGCTAGAATCCAATTGCAATTCTATTCTATCTTTCGATGGATCTGATAATCTCCAATAATATCCATTATATTGAATTTGGTGGCAATGCATGCAGTGGGGATTTCACAGGCAATTAGCAACACAACATCATCGACTTCCACTGGCAGCGGCAGCGCTATCTCTGGGAGTGGGACTAGCCAGTTTTCAGCTTCTAGTGGGGGCGATGAAGTCTATCCACATGGTCAGATTTTACCACACCCCAATTTAAGAATCTTCACTTTTGCGGAGCTCAAGGCTGCTACCCGAAACTTCAGAAGTGATACAATGCTTGGAGAAGGTGGTTTTGGTAAGGTTTACAAAGGCTGGATTGATGAGAGGGGCACCTCAAAGAGTGGTAGTGGATCCGTAGTTGCTGTAAAGAAATTGAATTCTGAAAGCATGCAAGGGTACGAGGAATGGCAGGTCAATTCCGTACTTCCCTCCCTCCTATTGCCTAAAAACTACATCCTGCTTCATGCTTCACTCTACTGCCAATTAGTAATATTGCTGTACATTATATATGTATTCCATATCAATATATATAATATCACTACACCAATTTCAGCTCTCAAATTTCTCTCTCTCTTTTGCACTTCAATAATAGATTCATCACTGGAAAGAAAAATAAGCAGTGCTTTAACCCCTATTTTAAAGATGTCTGAATTACATATAGAAGAAGTTTGTATATAGAAGAAGTTAAGTTATTTCTGTAACTCTCTTTGGTGTCCTTTTTCACCATGATACCTACCATTCATGCTAAATTTATTAATAAATACATAATTTATTTATCCTAGCTATTATTGCAAACTATATGAGACATCTTTCACTATGATTTTTAGTATTCAAATCTGATTAAAAAAACACAAACTTTTCCATATGAATTTATAGTTGGGTTCCTGAATACTGAATGATAGGAGTGTTTCCTAATTTACTTCTTGCCAATGTTTGTGCCTTTTTACATGCAGTCAGAAGTAAATTTTCTGGGATGTCTGTCTCACCCTAATCTTGTCAAGCTCATAGGATACAGTTGGGATGAGAGAGAACTACTCCTTGTATATGAATTTATGCAAAAGGGAAGCTTAGAGAATCACCTTTTCGGGAGTAAGGATTTGATTTTATATCTTTTTATTAACCTAAAAGGAGATATTTTAGTGTTTGTCTTGTTTACCAATTAAATAATTCCTTTCATTTCTTATGCTTTGGTTTGTTAAGGAGGTTCTGCTGTTCAGCCACTCCCGTGGGAGGAAAGGCTTAAAATTCTAACAGGAGCAGCTCGAGGTCTGGCTTTCCTACATACGTCAGAGAAACAAGTGATCTATAGGGATTTCAAGGCCTCGAACATATTACTTGATGGCGTGAGTTGCTTTTTAAAATTTTCTTTCCTATATAAGGTTGCTTGGTGAACATGCAGAACATAATTTGATGAGTTCAATACATACTGTACCCTTTTATAGCAATGGAGATAGCAGAAAGCTGTAGCCAAATAGGAAAAAAAAAAAAAAAAAAAGCAATAGAATGACTTGTATTATTTGCTCCTATTGTTTTCCAGTCATACAACGCAAAGATATCAGACTTCGGCTTGGCAAAGCTGGGTCCTTCAGCTAGTCAATCACACGTGACAACACGGGTGATGGGGACACAGGGCTACGCTGCCCCTGAGTATGTTGCAACAGGTAAGTTTTTTTTATTCAATTCATTAAAAAGGCAGAGATGGATGGATATCCATCCAAGGCTGCTGCAGGCAGTTTAGAGTGACAGTAAGTTGTGTTATAAATGAGCAGGGCACTTGTATGTGAAAAGCGACGTATATGGTTTTGGCGTTGTCCTGGTAGAAATGCTTACGGGTTTAAGGGCCATAGACGAAAATCGTCCAAATGGACAACATAATCTGGTGGATTGGATTAAGCCACATCTAACAGACAAAAGGAAGTTGAAGGACAAGATGGACTCTCGGTTGGCAGGAAGGTATCCTTCTAGAGCTGCTGTACATGTAGCACAACTTGCTTTGTCATGTCTGGGATCTGAACCTAAGATGAGACCTTCCATGAAAGAAGTAGTGGCGAGATTAGAAGAAATTGAGAGTGCAAAAGAGAGACCAAAAGAGCCTAGGACAACTTCTAGGCATCATCGCACAACTTATAGATATGGTCGTCATCAACCTTTGCACCATCGCTCTCCTCTTCACCCTAGGCAAGTTGCAAACCAGGCGTATCCACTCCCAACTCGTGCATAGTGTACCAGCCACTTGTAGTTTTTCACTTTGCATTAATTGAATTGTATTACAGAGTAGTGTCAGTCTTCTCTGCTGTCTGCTATCTATAGAGCAGGACTAATATTTTGTGCTAGTATTGGATAACTGAATTGTACTGTTGGAAAAGGCGAGGAAATCTAGTGTGTGGTCGTGCTTGGTTATATGTAAAGAGGGTATAGAGTCGTCACTGTGCGTGTTGTACATTATGGAGATCTTACCAAGTTTGCTGCGGATCTGAATGGTTGTCCTTTTTCTTAATTTGATGATTGATTATTATTGTTTTATTTCATTTATTTATTTCTTAATCAAACAAAATGGAACACGGTCTATGCCTATATTATACTGAAAGGGTTGAGGAGCTTTTGCCTATATTTAAGCTAGCACAACAACAAGAGTCAAGAGGTGGGTTCTCTTTGGACTTTGGGGGGAGCATCCATCCAACAGCTCCAGTTGATTGTGTCCAAGGAAGGCACAAGTATTAACTATGCGCGTCCCATCAAAAAAAATTTTGTGCTTGATTTCACTGATCAAAGAATCCTCTGCCAAAGGAAAATGGCAAGACCTTCTTTTCCACTACCACTCACTCCAGGGTGAGGGGGCAGCTATTCAGCTTACTGACGTTTCGGTATTCCCTCCCATTCTTAAAGCTTGCTTAAACCTCCCGCTCTCATTCACACATGGACATGCTGCCTCCATCCACGCATCTATGCTCAAGCATGGTTTCGCAGCATCATTCACTTCCATCTGGAATTCCATTATTGATTTTTACTCCAAATCTGGAAACTTGGGCGCTTCCATGCGTGTTTTCCAGTCTATGACCAATCCAGACTCCGTGTCCTGGAATACAATCATTCACGCCCACCTTTATCAAGACGTTTCTCCTCGGGAAGGATTAAGATTGTTTGATCAGGCCCGTCTTGCTGGGTTTCAATCCAATGTCTCCACCTTGGTGCTTGTGGTTCAGACTTGTAGAAATCTTGCAACTTTTTTTAATGGACAGAAGATTCATGGTTACGTAATCCGAAGTGGGTTTTCGGCTGTAAACTCCGTCCAAAACTCGCTGCTGAATTTTTATACAGAATTTGGAATGGAACTTGCACGGGAGCTGTTTGATGAAATGAGTGACAGAGATGTAATTTCTTGGAGTGTGATGATTGCTGGCTTTGTTGCAAGTGAAGAATCCACACTTGCTTTGGAATTGTTCAAGGAGATGATATCTGACTGGGGGATAAGAGCAGATGAACAAATAGTAGTGAGTGTGCTTAAGGGCTGTAGCCGTTTGAGGGACATTAAAATGGGAACCCTAGTCCATGGTTTCGTGACGTCAAGAGGTTTAGGTCATGATTTGTTTGTTGACAACTCTCTGATTGACATGTATTCTAAGTGTAATGACATGGATTCTGCATTACGAGCCTTCTGTGAAATGCCTATCAAGAATATAGTATCCTGGAATTCCCTGCTGTCTGGACTTGTTCATAATGGAAACCATGCCGACGCTCTTCTTCTGTTTGATTCAATGGTTAATGCAGGAGCAGAGGCTGACGAGGTAACGTTAGTTAATCTGCTACAGGTATGCAAGCATTTTGGTGATTCTTATCACTGTAAATCCATACATTCAAGAATATTCCGACAAGGTTATGAGTGGAATGAGTTGGTCATAAATTCTCTGATTGATGCTTACGCCAGGTGCAATCTCATTACTCTTGCCTGGAGACAGTTTAGTAACATGAAAATACGAGATGAGGTAACATGGAGCACCATGATTGCAGCCTTCAATAATCAAGGCATGCCTGATGAAGCAATTGCGGTTTTTCAAGAGATGTGCTGCAGGACATCCCCCGTAAAGCCCAATTCTATAACCATGCTAAATCTTCTTGAGGCTTGTTCTCTTTCTGCTGATCTAAGAATATCAATGTGGGCTCATGCCATTGCTATTAGAAGATACTTGGCATCCGAAGTAGCAGTTGGGACTGCAATATTAGATATGTACTCGAAATGTGGAGCAATAGAAGCTTCGAGAAAAGTCTTTGAATGGATACATTGCAGGAACGTTGTCTCCTGGAGTGCAATGATCGCAGCATTTGGAATGAATGGCCTTCCAAATGATGCTCTAGCATGTCTGGCCGAGATGAAATTGCATGGGCTGAAACCCAACCCGGTAACCATTCTTTCTGTGTTATCAGCTTGTAGCCACGGAGGACTGATTGAGAAGGGGCTCTCTCTCTTTGAAGAGTTGGTACAGGATCTTGAAGGTGAACTTGTGGCAGAACATTACTCATGCCTTATTGATTTGCTGGCTAGGGCCGGAAAGCTGGAAAGTGCAATAGATTTAATAGAGAGGCTACCTGATGGACAAAAGCCCAGTGCAAGTGCCTGGGGTGCGATCTTAAGTGCCTGTAGGAATTATGAGAACACGGAGATTGGATTTGGTGCCTTCTCTCAGGTCCTTGAATCTGAAACATCAAGCACATCAGCATATTTGCTTGCTTCGAGCATGTATGCTTCTAGTCATTCCTGGACTGATGCCACTAAAATGAGATGGTTGGTGAATAATAATAGAGGCATGAGGGTTGAAGGCGCTTACAGTTTAGTACATGTAGATGGCAGGGCACGCAAGTTTTTAGCCGGCAATAACCGTAGTTCGTTGCCTGATGACTTGTGCCTTGCTATTGAGCGACTGCACTCATCTATTTCAAATACAACAAGATAAGAGCAAGCGTAGGATTTTTGTGCAGATGGAGGAGCTTAGCTTGTTGGTATTGAAGGTAATCTTTCTCTTTCTCACACTTGTATTCAAACATATTACTGATTTAGAGCCTTACTTTTCCTTACACTTTCAATTTGGATCCGACAGCCATACATCATTTTGAAGAAAATATATTATGCTGAGCTGAGATTGATCTTACTACTGTAAGCAGCAGCTTCTTGCCTCATGGTCTATGTATATTTTACATCTTCCTTGCACAGGAAATGAATCCCTATTGCTATTGAACTATTGGCAAAGGAAAATGAAACAAACTGCTTCCTACTCACATTACAGGCCAACATTACTTGAGATATTCCCCTCTGCTTCCTGATGAACTTCCATGCTTTGGATTATTGGCATAGTGGAGGGAGAGTTTGATTGCTCGGCTTTTAGACGACCTGTGGATGTCTATACATTCTTCAAGATCAGCATCGCATGTCAAAAGCACCCACTCAGAGTCATCATCTAGGTATTTTATGTCAAATTTACTGCCATCCTGTATATTAAAACGTGCCAGAATCTCATGCTGTAGATCTCCAAAACGCCAATGTGGCTGCAGGCTGAATCGGATCTTTTCTTCCCCAAATGTAGCTTTAACTCTAAAGGTACAGGCATTCTGTAAATTGTGGCTAGTGCTATTTGACAAAGGAGCCAGGGTCTCCTGAAAAGAATGGCTACTTATAATCTTCTGACTGTGGGATCTTACAAGAAGCTTTGTGTCCTCTTGACCCAAGCCATGCAGTTCTGCATCACTGCGTGCTCTCTTTAGCATCTCTCCAGATTGTTCAGCTGAAGAAGCATCCCTACCGGCTGAGGAATTTAGAGTGAAGGGTGACTGCTTTGCTCTAGCGGAACAATTGAAACTTGAACTGGAACTGTGACTGCAAGAAGAAGTGGACTTTGAACAGGTGGTTCCAGGGCTTAATGGGAGGATGCCTTCTGGCTGAGTAGTTACTTGCTGCAGCTGATCACTCATTTTGGAAGCAGAGTAGTTGCTAGTCCCCTGTAAGCTTTGAGAGCCAAGTTCGGGGAAACTGCTATAGAAAGAGCTAAGTTGGATGGAACCCTCAGCACCCTGGACTGAATCAATTACAAGCTGAAGTTTCCTTAATGAGTGGCCTACCTTCTTGATCTTTCTAGAAGGCCAACGTGTAATTCCATGTTGTCTGCATATTCTTTTCAAAGTTGTAGGGCAGACTGCAAATGGAAGCATTGGTTAGTCAACATATGACAAGTAGGGATTAAGACAAAGTACAGATGTGTAAGTGGCAAAAATAAGTGCATAGTAAGATGGCCAAAGGTAAATTTGCACGAATAAACAGAGTAACACAGAACTAAACCTTTGAAAAGGTTGTTATCTGTTAAAAACTTACCCATTTCTCGGGGCTGACCAAAATGTTCTTGGAGTTTTCTTCAAATTACATGTATTTTTATTTAATTACTTATTTGGTACAACTGAGAGAAACAGGATTTAAACCTATGGCCTTCTACTAACAGTCAAGTACATTTGGCTACATGTTTATTTAATGTTTATCAGAGTATATAAGAAAATGATTTTAATCACTTCTTCAATTTAACATTGTGGAGATGGCCTTTATGCAGAAAGACAAATCTATCATGTTCAGAAAGCAGATTCAGGCTTCAAAACAAATGAATGCATAACATTGATGGTCCTGCATAGCTAGAGTATGGGATCTAGCTCCACCTCATGTGTATAAATTGATCTTGGAATGGTAATATGTACTTCTTTATGTAATGCATGTGATCCTACCTCCAATACTTCTAGCAGCATCCTTCAGGCTCCCAGCAAAATACTGTCGAAGTACTTGCAAGCTGATAGTCTTCTCAGTCTTGGTTCGTCTCTTGGCACCTGAAGAAAAATCTCCACTACTATTGGCACTTTCCTTGGGTCCGGAATCGTCAACGTCAGTTTTCTCCCAATTGGTTGTTAAGTTGAAGTTTTCTTCCAATTCATCTTTGTGATTACTGAAAGACACAGAGGTACTTTTACCTTTTGATTGTGCATCCATCATATGTGTAAACCAGGAAGAAGCTTCTTGAGAGGGATCTCTGGGAGGAGGGGATACCAATTGTTCAGATTTCTCCTTGTCTAATCCACCAGCTGAAGGGGATCCCCTTTCTTGATTTGGAAATGGTGTTTCTACTGCTAATTCCTGATCTGTAACCACACGCAGAGTCCTGCAGATTTGTTCTATAACAGAAGACAACGAATGTAACATTTGCTTCTGTTCTTCAGCGCCTTTGCAATCTGGTGGCAAGAAGAATTCTAAAACAAAGTCAGCTGAACCAGTGTGTATACTTCTGAGCCGTATTGCAACAGCAGCACACAATCCAAAAATTCTGGCATGGTGTGAGAGAGGATATTCTGTTTTGCTGAAAGCGGTAACATCTGTGGCAAAACATGGCTGATTCGTCATGAATGCTCCTCCAGCAACCCCTTCGCCTTTGAGCAAGTGATGTTCAGAGCATGCTTGGTGAAATTCCAATACTTGAGGAACACGCACATAGCAAGCTGATTCGATTGTGGAAACACAAGAAGTATAATTCTCATCAGAGTGCCTGCACCCGCCTTTACCTTGTTGGATACAAGGAGCCCAGGTCTGAGCCATGGGCAACTTGTGTGTATCACACACACATTTCAGTACGTCTTTAATCTCTTCCAAAGTGGCCTGGTATGACTGATTGCAAATCTAATGTAAAAATCAAATGTTGGTGTCATGACTCCAGGAGTGAGTTGAGTTTGCAACAACTGTAAAACTAAATAATTTGTAAACAAACCTGTTCATCCAAGGGACTTGAAACACCAGAACTTGTTAAATCAACTGCCTGCAAGGAGAAAACCTTACTTAGATATAAATACCAATGATCTTGTGTTATATTGCATACTAGACAATCATAAGACGAAAGAAAAAAGGAAAGGGAAAGAGAATAGGAAATAGCAAGTGGCATGTAAAAGATCCGTAGTGTTGGGCAGAAAGAAGCTGAGATGGGAATCAGGGGCAGGTGATCGAAAGCCATTCTCTACGAACTAAAATTATGAGACAAGTTGTAAAAATGAAGAGCAAGATAGTACCTCAAGTGCTTTGCAGACATCTTGAAGCTCAGGACTATAATTAGCTTTTTGAAAAGTTGTCACAATTTCAAAAACTCCTAAACAAGTTCCACTCCCTCTTTCAAAAACAGGAAGTGCAAGTGACCCACTGACATTATACTGTTTAGCATGACTAACCCGTGGATATTCCTCCCTCCTGAAGAAGCGAACATCAGGGGTCCACTCTGGCAACTTGTTCAAGAAAACGCGGCCTGGCAACCCCACCAATTCCTTAGAATTGTTGTCTGCTGCAAATTGATAGTTTCTAGAGACGTGCCTGTAATCTGCAAGACTTTTGCAGTTTGGATTGAGGAAAAAGGGTTGGTTATTAGTTGTGAGGACATGTCTGCCTCTACTCTTTACAGGTACCCATATCTGAATGAGAACGTCTTTGTCCCTTGTTGACTCTTTCAGGTATTCAATTGCCTGGACTAATCTTTTCTTCACTGAGGCGGTTGGAGTAGGGTTGCTTCTGTTTGGTCCAATCCACAACCTTTTATTCATTTCAGTGCCTTGAAGCATAAAAGTATGAGCTTGGTTTGGCGAAGATGATGAAGGTGGGATAGAATCAGGGTTATTAGTTTGAAATTCAGCATCTAATTCTTCTTCCATGTGAAGAAAGGTAGAATTTTGAGTAGTTTGCTGTGGAAAATGATTGTGAAATTGGTTAGGAGTGAATTGGGCAGTGTTGTTAGAGTGTGAGGTAGGGGGGAAGTAGGAGGAAGGAGAATGTAAAGGGTTAGAAGAAGAAGAAGAAGAAGTAAAGGGGGGTGCAGGCTGCCAAAAGTTGGATCCTTCAGTGGTCTCTAACCAGAAACCATCAAGGAGGAGTTCATCCATGAGACTGATATCAACAGCGTTGTTGTGGTGTGATGAGCTTCCAGTTCCAAAGATGTGATTGGGATTAGGTGCAGAGGAACCATCTCCCATAATGAAATCGGTTCAAACCACCTCCATCTCATATAAAGCCAGCCTGAATTATCTAAATGAAATGGAAACATACAGATCACGACCCAAAACACTGAACTGAAGCAGCAGTGTAAAAATGAAATACAAGAAGAAGAGGAAGTTTCCTTTGTCTTCCAAAACCCAATCACTACTATTCCGAGTACCACATACATCATCAATACTCTAAAAATTATTTGCCTATGCAATCAGGAATGCATTTCAGAGGAAAGAAAACGCATACACGTACATTTGTTTTTTTACATCATCATCGATCATTTGAAAGCTCAAACACAGCTTATCTTGGATTAGGTTGCTATATATACATATATATGCACTCCCGAGTTATTTTGTTTAAAAGTTAAGCAAAGCAGCAGCAAGATGTAATGGAGTACGTAATTGAAATAGAAATTACGAAAACATGAGTGAAGCCTGAAAAGAAAGACGTGGGCGGGGGATGGCAACTTACAATTAAAGTATATGAGGCGAGGCGAGGCGAGATTCCACTGTTTCTTAGTTTATCCGGTGGGTTATTGCTATTAAAGCGGTAAGTGTCTTGCCGGAAGTTGGAGATGGTAGAAATCTCAGGCGTGTATATAGCCGCCCATGGGCTGCCGTTTTGGGGGGCTTCCTTTCAGAGTTGGTGGGATGTCGGCAGTATAGGTTCTTAATGTTTTGTTGCCTTCACCGGAAATTAGCTTTTCTTGATGTTCACCGGCGAGATTCCTGCTGGTGGGCATGCTACACAGCACGCAGTAGTAACGGTACGGTGGTAGCAGCTTCAATTAGCGGCGACAAGAAGAAGGAGCAGCTTATTATGCTTCAATTCAATTCTTAGCTATTTGTGACAAGTGTTGTATGGATCGGAAATAAGAATGATGAAAGGATACCCATGGGAAAGCAGTTTGATTTATACAATAGAAGCTCGTATATTTTAATTAATTTGTATTGCTGTGGTGTAGTCGTAATACGTAATACCAAGATTCCAGTACTCAGTGGTAGTATCGTGTATGGCTGACCCACCCCCAAGATTCCAACACTGCCACCTCACCTATGCTCTGCACACCATAGCCCACCACAGGTGTTGCCTTTAACATTGTTGAAACGCTACCTTGCTTGTTTATATGCTATCTTTATTTA